CTTCTACAATTTCTTCCAAGTTTTTTCGATTACCAAAAGCTCAGTGATCCTCTGCAATACACTTTTGTCAAATATCATCAAACTCGTTTCACTTGTTTTTGAACAGCGTACAAAATTTGTTTTTTTATGTGAACTTCGAACCCTTCTCATGGACAAACGGTACATGTTGGCACACAAATAAATTGGGTCCAATCAACTCATTGTGACCTCTTCTACGTGGTAGCTCTGTGTCCCAGCAATTTTGGGGCACCCAATATAACTTGGAATTCAGAGCATCTCAGATATGATAGATGATATCAATTGTTTCTATCATAGGTCATGGTCTATTCGAAAACTAGTACCTAGTGAACATACGTATCACCTTCTCTACACTGATCCAATGAAACGATTCTTCCTTGGGATCCACATGGTATGGAACCTTCTGCAGTAAAATTGAGAGTATACAGGATGAAAGTTTTGGAATCGTTTGGTATCAGTACCACAGCCAACAATATAAGATATTCCCACAATTTCCAAAGAAGTTTCTCAGCTACAGCTTCAGCTTCTGTAGGCTCATCGTTCTCGAGGTATATCAGATAGTAAGCAGATGGGTTGAACGAACTCAGTCGGTCGATTCTTTCTAGAATTTCATCAAAATTGCTTTCTTGATCTATCACGATGATGAAGATTTTCGATTTGTAGTTCACTACAAAATGGCGACGACATATTTTCTTGTGGCAAACTGAGTAGGAAAAGAACTGGTGTCTCTTTGCTACAGATACAACTTCAAACAAGAGCCAGCTAGAAGCTAAATTGGCCTGTTTGATGAGATTCTCTTGTATTTCATAGGCTGGAGAAGTCAAATTGTCAGTTACCACGAAGGTTAGTAGCCTAGTCTCATTGACATTCACTAGTCCATTTCCAAGGTTGAAATGATGGCTGAAGATATCTTCCAGACACTGAGAAGCAAGTATTTGATAAGAAGGGTCTTTGAACGCATCACCTCTGCAGCAATAGAACCAAACTTGTACTATAATCATTAACGATTTCATAATGTGTTTTCTGTCATGTGATGGGGGGTGATTTTTCTAGGTAAATGAATTTTCATTTAGAATATGGGGCATGTGTTATGAAGTAACGATTCCAAGATAAGACATTTGCGTGTTTGAAACGTAATTATTATGTGGAAAGAAGATAAGTCAGTGGATGACATGGAAAACGTTTCATACCTGCATTCTCCATTGTGTTTCCAGATTTCTACAGAGTGAATCCGAATAAGGGTGGCCCCCTATGACATCCAAATAATAGTAAATGAAACCAGTTCTAGATTGAAACTCATCAACACATTCCATTTTTTGAGATATGCCGGAAAAGTACGGAATTATATACTTTTAACGCACCACCACCTGTATTCACATAAAAGCCTTTTTTTATATGAATATCGGGTGTACAGTGTAGAAATGTGTATTTTTGATGAAATTTGTAATACCCTGTAGAGTGTAACAGTTACATTATCAAGTTGGAATCGAAATTACACATCAGCCTTATATGTTTTCGACATTTCCTTCTTGAATTCACTTCATCATCATTTCTATAACTCGAGAGTAGTTTTGTCAAAAATTTATCTCAAACTGTTTGATTTTGTTGTGGTGTATTTTGTTTACAATTTGGTGAATCCTTGTATGAAAAAAAATGAAGGATAGGAGTTGGAATTGAATTTTCACTTGAAATACCACTGGAGTCAAATGGATATTCTGAAAATTATTTTGAGTTGAAGAAGAGGGATAATTTTCGAAATATTCATGAGCTCTTATGGCTGCAAACTTCATTCTCGTAGGAAATAACTATAATTCCATGCTCGTTTTTTATGTTCTAGTTCCCACGAAAAGGGATATCCTGTAATGTTCAGAGAATATTGTGAGAACCACGGGAATCAAGGTAGGAATTGGTGTTCTTCTTAGATTTCTGGAGGTTATATGCCTCGGAGAACACCTACCTTGGCAATGTGTTCCAGTGCCTCGCTGTTCGTTGGATGAACGAGTCTTTGGAAAGAGATGTTCTGCAGGTCTCCAAAGTGACCACGAAGCCTCAACTCGACGGGTTAATCTCGCGGGGACTGCCAAGGGAAATAAAATTGTCGATATTTCAGAAGAGCATCGTCCATGAAAATATCTATAAAATAGAGCCAGATCGCCAACCTTTTTACGGTGTTCCAGAGAAGTGAGTGAGTATGTGAGCGAAGCATCACCCACGAGACGAATTGCCCTTTTTTGGACAGAATCCAACAGTTTCAGGGTATGTTTGGGTGCTGCACTCCAAATATGGAAACAATATTCCAGGACAGGTCAGATCTGTGCCATATAGATCATAAGCAGCTGCCTGGAAGTGAAATAGCTCCTGGCCCGAAACAGAAAACCAAGTTTTTGGGATGCACTTTTCGCAATTGATCTCACGTGATTTTCCCAAGAAAGGTTATTGCTGATAGTAATACCAAGCATCGAAATGGATGTCTTCAAAGGTATGGTTACTCCTGACATGCTTATGTTTGGCACAGTGAGATCGGCTTTCCTAGAGATAAGGCATGCTTGTGTTTCGTTTGCATTGAAATCTACCAAGTTACTGGATCCCCATTCGTTAAACAATATACTATTTTCTACGGCTATAACACAAGATTGCTCTTGTTTTACTGTGTTCGATACGTCAATGAGGTACTTTGTATGTCATCAATATTATTTCCGTATCTGATATCACAATGACTCCATTCTGTTATCATTTTTGAAAAAACTCATCGTCCATGGAATGTCAAATTTCAAGTAATTTATTTATTTATCATTGTACATCCAGCAGGCCCTAGAGCACAATAATTATAGGTGTACATAATTACAAACTATGTGATTAGAAGTGATTAGAAAAAAGTTATACAAAATATCAGTCAATATCAGATGATAAAAAGAAATTATCGACAGTAGAGATATTGTTTACACTTCTAGACATTGTTGTTAAAGGCGAGTGGAAATTGTGAATTGTCTTAGGTATTACAGGTAAGTAAAATGTAATACAAGTACGTCAAGAAGCTCTAGGAACATTGAACATCATTTGTGATAGGATAGTAGAGGAATCTATTTGATTGTGCATGATGACAGCTCTGTCTAATAGATGAGCATTATTGACAGGAAATCACAAGACGAGGAAATCAAAAATGCCGCTGTTATCTATTATACGGGTGTTTCATAATTGAATGCTGATCCTTGAGTTCGATAATCCTTGGATGATTTTGAAGAGAAAAAATCATATCAGCATATGTCCTAAACCTCTTAGTTATTGAGCTACAGAGTGATGAAATTTCAAGAAAAAAATGAGTTTTTCATCATAATTTTTTATCACTCTCAGATATTGTTATGATATTTCGTAAACACCTTTTCATTATCAGGGAACATTTTTTTACGTGAAAGATTTTCAAAAATTCTCACCAGTGGCGTCCATATGGGGTTTGAACTGACAATTTTTGAAGAAAAAAATAGTACGCCACTGATTTTTCTGAGAAACAGATTTTTCTTCAATTCTCATTCATTTTGGAGCAAATTTGGTTTCAAGACTTACTTTCATACAACGTACTGTTTTCGCGTAAAAAATAAAAACCAAAGAATTTTGTTCCTTCAGTTCTTGGATATTGTTTTTGGTAATTCAGTAGACACCCACTATAAGTGAAAACACATTTTGTTTTGGGACGAAAATCAAACTTTCACTTTCTTCAGTGATGTCCTCGTAGACCTGATATTGAATGTTTAGTTTCAAAAAACGCTGTACGCTTCTGATTTCAACACCCTGTAGCTCAAAAACTAAGGGGTTCAGGACATATGTTGATATGAACTTCTCTCCTTGAAATTATCCAAGGATCATCGCCCTTTAGGATCAGCATTCAATTATGGAACACCCTGTATAGCCGTAGAAAAATTGTAGTGTTTAACTTGCACGGAATGATTGCAGCATTCGCCTATGGCTCATGCTGCAAATTTCATTCTCGTAGGAAATCACTATCATTCCGTGCTCGTTAAACAATATAATATTTCCATCATGTCGATGTTTCATTGATGTGTACGTGCCCACTTGGAATACACTGATAAACAGGCAATTCGCGGGAATCAATGTTACCAGGTGGCGCTCGGTTTTCATCGTTCCATGACAAAGCCACGTCAAAACTGGGGAAAAACAAACTCAATCCTCACTCAATCCTATTAGTGCCATTAGCTTGTGTACTTTGTGCTGATAAGAGTGATAAGTTCTTGAATTTCTCGACATTCATTGTCAATTTTCGATCGGAAACGCTAATAATGCCTGTTGTAGATGTTCTTTTGGCAGATATTTTGCTCTATTTAGACAGAAAAAGCCGACCAGTAGTGGAAGGAGAAGCAGTTCTCCGTGCTAATCATGTGATTCTGTGTGAGGCAGAAGACTTCAACAAAAGGCACATTTTTGCACTTTGTCTCCAAACTCCGGCGATGAAATCTTCCCCACATGAAGTAAAATTGAAGTTGGGGTCCAAAGGAACTCCTGTAGAACATGCAAAAGCAGGACAATCTGGGTATTGTTGGGCCAGATTTGGATCTTTTGGAGAAAAATGCATAGACACACTCTCCGAAATATAAATATTGCACTGAGCAGTACTTTTTTGATTTATTGCTCGTCATAATTAGTTGGAATTAATTGTACCATCTCCAATTCTTCACCCGTTCACTGTTCACTAAACTAATAGAAATGTGATAATGTGGAAAAATTAACCAACACAACCATCATCACTACCAACAGTGCCAACACTTTATGTCATTGACAAGTTTGACAACTACAGCTTCAGCAAGCTGTATGCAATGTAGTCTATGCACTTTATCCATAGACAACAGTTTGTTTTCCCCCAGTTCGAAGTTCGTATTATGTAATCTAGATGTCGCCAACTTCGTGAATCTCGCGAATACGTTATTGTGACTCAACCTGATATGTGTAGATGAATAAATGACACTGAAGATCAAATTTAGTATTTATTCACTAAATAATATAATCCATCAATTTTATAATAAAATTATCAACAATGAACAACATAATAAATACAGAATGAAATAAACACGATGGGAACGAGATAACTTTTTGTTTATTGGTGCCTTATATCATACAACGTTTCACACATACTTTTTTCAATTAATAATAACCTACATTATAAAATAGCTGTCATTTCTTGAGAACAAGCAGATCGAAGGGCTATTTGATGGTAAATACGTGTCTCTTACGCCCTGGATTCCCTTTTTCTCAACATTCACATTATTTGAAAACAGAATCATACAACTCTAATATTCAAAAAAACAAAAAATAAAAAAATGAATATTTAAATGTACTTCGCTTCGTTGGTGGAACAGCGAAAGAATGTTCATTCAAACAACACAGCGCTTAGTTTATTCGTATTCTGGAGCAAGGTCGAACCTAGGAGGAAAAGGGCCACCCAGTTGGTCTCCCATTCCCATAGTGGGGCGCTGTCTTTGGGGCTAAAAAAAAACAAAGGATACAGGGTGTTATCAAATCGTTGACTAAAAATATCGGATATGGTTTCTTAGCTCATTCCAAGATGAAAAGTTCATATGAATATATGCACTGAACCTCTTAATTTTGGAGCTATAGGGTGTAGAAATTTTGTTTTGTCTCTATACGGGTGTCCAGAAATTAGCCTGCCCATAGATCAACTCATTAATCTATATGGCTTGTCTTCACCAGGGGCTTCTACGGCCAAAAATAGGAGAGAAAGTTCCAATGTACATGAGTCGATGAATCGACGACCTAGAATAATAATAAGGTTCTATCTGCCTTTCCAACCAAAATTGAGATTTTGGTATATTAGAGTTCTATCTGATGAATTCTCCATTTCGAGAGGTCAACTATCGCATTCTGTTGGAATTTTAATGAGTTAGTCATAATGCAAAGTTATATCTACAGAATATTTCTTTCTTCAATTTGGTGTAACAACATCCTTACTACATAATTTGGTTTTTCATGGTCCTATCTACACCCAGATAGAACTTTTTCTCATCAAACCAATACATATACACTCTTGTTATCCCAGTTCATCAACATCAGACATTCATCTTAGTAGCTGAAAGTTACCGATTTAGGATATTTCGGAAATTGTATCAAGAAACCCCAATAAAAAAATATTACTTTCAAGTTGCTGCATTGGGAGAAGGTGAACGCATTTGAAAAAATGAATGCTGCATGAACAAGACTGACAGAAACTATTTCTCTGCGTTGCATTCCTTAGAGATCTGAGTGATTTTGTTCTTCTCCATTCCGATAATACGAAATATACTCTTGGAAAAATCTACGTGCCGCAATTTTTTTCAAACATACTTATAACATATACTTTTACTCATATTGATTCAGAAGTGGATCTGATGGCACTTAGAACATTTCAAATTAGTTTTCTCGTAATATTTTATGAAACAAGGATGTATTTTATTGTATGTTTGTCAGTTAGGATCTTGTTGAATTGCTAAAATAGAAGAATGGAAGTTCGAATTACCATTTATTTGAGAATGAAGGAAGAAGAAAAATCAACTGATAAAAACTGCAAACCATTCAAATATACTTCGCAGCACGATTCTGATCAACTATACTTGGTCCAAATAGTACCTCAATATTCTCAATCGATCAAAGATCATTATTTTGAATACAAAATAGTGAACCAGCCTACTAGTTCAAAATGTATGAGGAAAGGAATGGAAATGGTTTCTATTTTTGGACGGGAAAACGGTGCTCCAGAAGATAAAAACAGATTGATGCAAAATGAATGAGGATTTCGGAAATGTTTTTCATCTTTGGAAAAGCAAGAGCGTACAATTTTTTTTTTCTTCAAATCTCCAGTACACATTATTCCATGCGGACGCTACAGGAATGATTATTGGAAAAATTCCTGCATCAAAGAATGCCTATTGACTCTGTGTAGGAGCATGTCAAACTTCATAAAAATATGATGACCAGTATTGAAGTTATCGTAAGAAAAATATTTTTTTCTTAAAATCTTCACACCCTATAGCTCAAAAGTTAAGAGGATTTGGGCCTACATCCATATGAAATGTTTATTTGCAAATGGGATGAGGAACCATATCTTGCACTTTTGACCATCAATCAGATGGCTTAGACCTGAAGGTGAATCATAAAATCCTACTCTCACAATAATTATTCGATTAGAAATGATAGTTGAACGTGGAGAAACAGTCCCAGTCGTTTATTCTCCTCAAAACTAAAGATGCTAAAAAATCATGACAAGGACAAAAAACTCACGGACAATATACATTCCTTCAATGTCTTGGGAATGTACATTACTCACACAAAAATTGACTAAACATACGTGTCAACAAAAAACTTACAATTTCAACGTTGTTATTCTAGAGCAACTGCTAAACGTTGTGCAGCTGGCTTCTGTGACTTTAAATAAAACAAGAAACGTTTAGCTTTATTGTCCTAACGCCTTCAGGCTCTGAATGTATTGTGATTGTTGCTTGAAGTTATGTTATAACAATTATTTTGTATCCCTATATTCCACATCAAATCAGAAACGTTCAACTAACGTCGATAGTCAGCATCTGTACATATCAGCTATTTTTTATGCAAAACTAATCTTGACTGATCTCCCGTGATCTTGCTCACTAGCTTGACAATTGAAACTATTTTGGTTTTTTCGAAAATACTAGGAAACCGAAGAAAATAAAATAATCCGAAGGAAATGAATATTTCCTAATATTTCTTGGTAGTCTTCATGACAATTTGTTGATGATACTGATGAGATTAATTCTGTTAAGATATAATCCCTTTGAAGGATTTTGTTCCTTAGTTGAACAACCCATATAGAATCTCAAAAAGTCTAAGATTATGTGGGGCCAAGAAAAAAAAAGAAAGAGAAACAAAAATGACCAGAAAAATTATGGCCAGAATGATTATCTTAGCACTTCTTTGATTTTTGTTCAATTCTGGTGATGATGAATTTCAGTTCTCAAGAAAAGCTGACGAGAAGTTAATCTTTCACTCTCAACTTTTCAACGCCCTGTAGAAAAAGTGAGTGGTTGAACAAAGCCTCATTACGTTTTGAATTGAATACAATATGGTTTTTTATTCACGTCGATATCTTTTTTTTTTAGAGAAGATACAAGTGTTTCACGAAGGAATGGAATTTTTTCAATTCCTATCGACGATAATGCTGAACCTATCTTCGAGATTAGCTCCAATGATCAAGCCATCAGTTTTTTTCGGATCCTGAAATTCGGGCTAGAATCACAGAACATAAATATATGATTTGGTCGCAATTCCACAAGAATCGGAAAAGAATTGAAGAAATTATAGAGCCATCAATTCGACAATCAAAATTTTCCTAGCGATTTTCATCGAGGTGAGTGTATTTCTGTTAGATAAAATTCCATTGCAGGATTTCTTCCTGCCTCCCCAGAAGTCCAAACTCATCTTTGGTCACTAAAAGCGGTACCTACACCTCATGGTTGAACCCAAACCACTGAGTGACCAATGAATCTAATAGTATTCACGTGTGAAAAAGTGTGCATAAGAGTCATGGAAACGTTTTAAGAAATACTCACTCCTGGACTGACTCCTCTAGCGGTAGATCCAGCACGTCCCTTGGCCCTGAACTTGGCAATAGCCTGCTCTGCCAAATCCGCACGCTCCTCAGCCTCCTCCAACTCCTGCTGAGCCTTGCGGAACTTGGCCAGATTCAACGCGGCGATCTCTTCCGCCTCCTCAATCTGCCTCTTGTAGGTCTTGATCTTCTGCTGCAGCTTGTCAACCAGATCCTGCATGCGCTCATGGTTCTTCCTGTCTTCTTCCGCCTGGAAGCTCAGCTCCTTGATACGGCGCTCTGATTTCCTCAGGTTCTTCTGAGCATCAGCGTGTCTCCTCTGCTCGCCGTCCAATTCATTCTCCAACTCCCTGACGCGTTGTTCCAGCTTGGCGATGGCCTTCTTGCCTCCCTTGAGGGCATTAGCCTCAGCTTCGTCCAAACGCACTTGCAGGTCCTTGATCTGGGACTCGAGGGCCTTCCTGAGCTTCTCCTGAGTCTGAGCGTGGTCTTGTTCGGCTCTGAGCTCGTCGGCCAGACGCGCGGCATCTACCATAGCCTTCTTGGCCTTCTCTTCTGAGTTCTTAGCTTCGTTGAGAAGCTCGTCTAAGTCAGAGTGGAGGGTCTGAAGCTCGGTTTCCAGTTTCCTCTTGGCTGCTGAGAGGGAAGCGTTCTGAGCACCGAATTCGTTGAGTTGCTCGTGAGCATCACCAAGTTCTTGTTCAGCTTGACGGCGAGCTCTGTCAGCTTGTTCCAGAAGAGTGCGAGACTCTTCAAGTTCGTTCTGAAGGGCATTGGCACGACGTTCTGAGATGCCGAGTTGTTCACGAGCTTCATCGCGAGCACGTTGTTCTTCTTCCAGAGCGGTCTGAGTGTCCTTGAGCTGTTGTTGGTAGCGCTTGATGGTCTTTTGTGCCTCGGCGTTAGCCTGCAAAGAAATAAAGTGAGGGTTGCTGCACTGGGAGGTGTTTTATTATCGTTGAGCTTACCTTGTTGGCATGGTCCAAAGCGATTTCCAATTCGTTGATGTCAGCTTCCAACTTCTTCTTCATGCGGAGGGCCTCAGCCTTGCCCTTGGCTTCGGCTTCCAGGGATGCTTGCATGGAGTCGAGGGCTCTCTGGTGGTTTTTGCGTGTGTTTTCGAACTCTTCTTCCTTCTCTTGGATGCGTCTGTCGATTTCTTGACGTACCTGAGACAGCTCCAGTTGGCTGCGGAGTACTTTGTTTTCTTCCTGTTCCAAAGCGGATTCGGCTTCTTCCAAAGCCGCTTGGAGCTCGTCCTTCTCAGCCTCCAAGCGTTTCCTGGCTTTTTCGATTTCGTGGATGTTGCGGCCGCCTTCTCCAATTTGGTCGAGGAGGTCCTTGACTTCATCAGCGAGATTCTTGTTCTCACGACGGACAGCCTCAAGTTGTTCTTGGCCTTCTTCGTAAGCTCCTTTGAGCCTGAACAGTTCGGTGGAGTAGTTCCTGCATTCCTTCTGGCTAGCATCAAGTTCAGCAGCAAGATCGTCAACCTTGAGTTTCCATTCACCAATGATCTTGTCGAATGCTTTTTGTTTCTTCTCAGCGGCATTGGCGATGGCATTGGCACGGTCGACTTCCAGTTGCAGATCTTCTACTTCAGTGGCCAAACGTTGCTTGGTCTTCTCGAGAGCTACAACCTTCTGGTTGAGGGATTCGATGGTTTCCTCAGCTTCAGCAAGACGAGCTTGCAATTTCCTCTTGGCTTCCTCGAGTTCTTCGGAACGGGCAACTCCTTCTGATTCGTATTTCTGGCGCCAGAGCTGAGCTTCAGCGTTCGCTTTGCTGAGTTGGCGTTGGATATCGGCCTTGGCTTCGGCTTCTTCTTCGACTTGCTCGCGGATGTTGTCCAGATCGTGTTCCAAGTTACGGAATTTGCCCAGAAGGGTGGCACGTTCTCTGCCTTCTTCATCTGCCAGGCGTTTGGTGTCTTCCAATTGGGTGGTGAGGGAGACCTTGATCTTGCTGAGTTGGGAGACTTGGGACTCGGCTTCTTCCAGTTGTCTGAGCAGGTCGGAGTTCTCGATGGAGAGTTTCTTCTTGGCAGCGTCGAAGTCGTTGAGAGTGCGGTTTGTTTCGTCGAGTTTGCCTTGTACGTCGTTGAGTTGTTGTCCAAGTTGTTTCGATACCTTTTCGATAGCAGCCTATATGAAAATAATAATGATCAGTATCTCCTTCTTCAGGTTGGGGTGAAACACATAACACAAGTTTGATAAAGGAGAATATTAGCAACACATTTCGAATCAAAAACAAGAAAGCAGCGTTGAAGTCTCTTCATAGATGGCAGCTAATTGGTGAGTAGGTCCCTGAATGCTAAAAAATGAAGCCCAGCCACGTGACTATGCAAAAATTGTTGTACCTTCTCGTTAGCCAAGTGATCAACAGATGCTCGTAGGTCGTTGAGTTCACCGAAGTACTGGGCCTTCTCTTTCTCAGCCCTGTGGGGTGGACAAACAAAAACAGGCATTTAACAAACAATCTAGGGTCACAAAGAGGTTGAGTGCAGGTAAAAGGGGTTGAACGGACAAGAATTGACGTTACTGGGGGTGATTTGTACCTTTTCCCTTCCGACTTGCTCTACTGCCCCACGGGTTTGTTGAAGCTCAGAATAGATATTGGCACGATCTCTTTCGGCCCTAGAGTGAATTTATGATTTAGTTCATTTTTTTTTAAATCTCTATACTTTGCTACAGGAAATCATTTGTAACTCCTCAAACTTTATAATTTGCAGTACAACTTTTTCTAACTAAGATCAATAAAACATACTTTTAGCAATACTGGTATGATGGGCTGTACCCAAAAAAGACATCATCATGAAATTGAAGCATGTTGAATACGAATTCAGAAATTAAAAAAAGTGAGGTTGATTACTCGTCAGGTTGACAATAAAATCATACATAAAAATGTCTTTGGTCCAGTTGAGTACTATTTACATTATGTATGAACATTATGCCTAATCAGACATAATGTTGATAATACTCAACTGGACCAAAGATATTTTTATGGATGATTTTCTTGTCAACCTGAAGGGTAATTAACCTCACTTTTACTAATTTCTAAATTCACATGTACCATTTTTCAATCGTCAATTTTATGAAGATGTCTTTTAGAATAGCTGAAAGTTGATCAACTTTTCCTAATTTTCAAATTTGAATTTCAATTTTTCAAAGAATGAATTTCGAAAACATTTTCTTTAAATTTTCCCTTATATCTTTCTCTAAAGCTAAAAGCTGATTACTACTGACTCATAGGTGAATTTATTTTGCACGAAATACAACTTTCTGTACTATTTTGGTATGGACGTTGATACCCAGAACTATAAATTCGTTTCATTTCTAAATATCTCAGCGGCGCATTACAAAAATAAATTATTGAACTCGACCTCAGAAAAAATATCTCCTTGTATAGATTCACACAGCATTATGCTTTTATGATGTGAACATTCAAATATGATATGAAATCTCGAGAACTTATAAAGCTAAAAAGAAAGGAATAAACAAATCTTGAAATCTTAACTCTCCCTGTAGATTGGTAACGACGTCTTTGCGATCACATGTGTATTAAGCCCTATTTATATTTACATATTCTCCCGATGGAAATTCTGAATCAATGAATCTGTATCCTTTGATCGTTGATGAAAAGTGTGAGGTACTTACTTAGCCTTAAGCTTGTTCAACTGGTCAATTTGTTCGCCCATTTCAGAAACAGCATCATTGTGCTTCTTGCGTAGGTTAGCAAGAGTGCTCTCGTGCTGGATGTTAGATTCCTCAAGATCCCGACGCAGCTTAGCCAACTCAGCTTCACGTTTCTTGTTCAGCTCGATTTGGGCGCTAGTAGCACCACCAGCTTCCTCCAAACGTTCACCAAGTTCTTCAAGCTCTCTAGCCAAGTCAGCGCGTTGTTTCTCGGCCTTGGCACGAGCTTGACGCTCAGCTTCGACCTCTTCTTCTAGTTCCTCAATGCGTGCTTGCAGCTCCTTCACTTGCTTCTGTTGCTTACCAACAACGGATTGTTCGTCTTCCAGCTTGGCGGTGAGAGAAGAGATTTCCTTGTCTTTGCGTTGGATGGTTTGTTCGAGCTCCTTCTTGTTGCGTTCCAAATCAGCTACAGCTTCTTGGGTCAGCTTCAAGTCGCCTTCGACCTTGCGCTTGGACTTCTCAACGTCACCTCGGAGTTTCTTCTCCCGTTCCAAGGAGTCTTCCAGCTCGTCCAGAGTCTGCTCGAGCTTGGCTTTCACCTTGTTGAGGTGGTTGACTTTGTCCTCAGCTGCTTGAAGTTCTTCGGAGATCTTCTGGTTGTTTTCTCCCGAGAGTTTCTTCTCCTTGTTGAGCTTGTTGATGAGTTCGTCCTGGTGAGCGATTTCGTCGTTCAAGTTTCTGATTTGATGGTCCTTGGTGGCTTTGTCTTGCTCGGACTTCTGGAGGTTGAGTTCCAAGTCTTCGATGTCCTTCTTATATCCGGACATCTCTTGTTCAAGCTTTTTCTTTTGCTGGTTGAGCTGGTTGCGGGCGTCTTCTTCTTGGCTGAGGCGATCTTGGGTTTCCTAAAATGTCAATTGGTCAGAACTAGATGAAAAGTAGAATATCCATCAGCGTGAGGTCAACCTTGTGGAGTTCAGTGCAATCATCAAATGTTCTGATTTCAAATCGAATCCTTGAAAACTGATTGAACAAAAGCAGTCATCTGATTGACGAACAGTTACTCATTCATGGAAATAGTCTAAATTGAGACCGGACCTTGTGATTTATGATTTGAGTTGCTGCTATGTGGTATTAAATTCAGTAAATAGGTTGATTTGATGACCCGATTAGAAAGAAATTCCACTTTTCACTTAAGTATGTCTTAATGACGCATGCAGAAGAGCGTTACGAATATTTACTGGCTTAATTCCAAGATCTTGTAATATTTTTCCTTCTATCTAAAAATATGCCACCTACTCAATGCAAGTTATTTTACCTGGATTCATGAAAATTATGAGTAAATAGATCTTTGGCAGATTTATATGATTCAGCTGAAAAAACAAGTGTCCTCGATTTCATAATTTATTTCGGCTACATTTATCAGTGAAAGAATTTAACAACTCACCTAATGAACTGAATTCACTTCCTAATTTTTCAACTAAGTAATGAGATCATGTGATTGGAAAGGGCAGAAATTGTAACCAAATTGTTACAAGAAAAGCTCCTAGTACTATAGCGCTAGAATCTTTGAAATTTAAAGTTGCATTATCCTATTTTTGAATGCCAAAAAATTTTCTATAGGGCTGATAAACAATTTCAATCTTAATCAGCTATGCTATATGACTTAGTTTTTGATATTCAATTGATACTGAACTAGAATCAACTGTCTATGATATGTGGAATGAGAAATTCGATGAAACAAACAAAACTTACCGATAATTGGGCTTCCAAGTCATTCTTTTGGGCTTGCAGTTTGTTAGCCCTTTCTTGAGTCTCAGACAAGGAACCCTTCTCTCCTTCTAAGCTGTTCAATAGCTCAGTCTTCTCAGCCAGCAGCTTGGCATACAAGGCTTCAAGTTCCTTCTTGGCTTTCTCTTCACGTTCGAAAGCTTCTTGAGCCTTCTGGGCCTTCTCCTCAAGTTTCTGTAAAACAATCTGCTTGTCAGGGAGTGGTTCTTCTTTATGGGAAACCGTTTGGTCTTTATCAGAGACCAGTTGTTCTTCGTCTATCATATTGATCGTTTCAAAGTTCGTTTGAGTCGGGATGACAGAACTACCGTATCGTTAGAAGTACGTTCGAGTGCAGACTGAAGACTCAGACCAGAGTGTTGAAAATTTAGAAACAGCGTGGGATGGATGAGAGATTTTGATGAGAGATTAGAAAAATATGCGGTGCCATATCTTGATGACAGATTCAATGGAAGGAGGTTTTATATTTAGATTAATATAGGACAGGTAACTTTATGTGAAGCTATTAAAATCGATGTTTGCGGTCATATAAACACGGGTCTATCTTTACACGAAGTGGATTATTTGAACAGCTGGTTTAGCGGTTTCGCTAGAAAAACAGGCCGTGTTCAAGAATTATTGGATTTCCGAAAATGTGTGAAGAGAAATTGTTGAGGCGATGACGCAGAGACTATATATTTTCTTAAACAATACCGGATGCATATATATATATGGTGCATGATCTCTGTAATAAAAGCTGATATGTGTCAGAAATATCCCTAGGAAGATTTATATGGATTACGGTGAATTGGTTTCACGAAAATAGAAATTGAATGATACAAGAATAGTTATTTATTATACAAGGGAAAAAAGTAGTAGATTTTAGCTCCAGGTTGTGTTGTCTCCCGACGCGTAGCGGAGGGTGACAAAAAACCGTGAGCTAAAATCTAATATTTTTCCCGTGTATAATACACTATTTTTTTCTGTGACAGAAGGAAGGACGAATCAATATTGGGAAGATATTACATTATTTCGAAATCTGAAAATTATCGACGTGAAATTTCAAGTTTTTAACAGTAGGGACTCCTGCGTTTTATAGACATCTTTATCATTCTTTTGAAGTAATCAAATATCTGATGTCACTTCTGTCAGTTCAATTCTGTGATTTGATTTTAAAAAATTGCGAATTCAGTAGTTGTTTAGTAATATACGAAACCGCGAAGTCGAATGGAAGATAAAAGGACTTGCAGTTCTTTCTCGGAGACGGTATTATTGACTTATTTTTCGGAACTATAGCACAACAAAAGCCATTAACAGAGTATATATATGTGATATATATCCGGGAAAGAAGTACTCACTTTTTTCCCACGGGAAAAAAGTAATTTATGAAAAGTGACATTTTATAACCTGCCAACAGAGATGAAATGCCAAACTTTTTTCCCGTCACAGAAAAAAATATTGTGAACATGAAGAATTGGGGAAAAAAATGAAACGTATTTCAGTTGTCGATAATAATGAATGTCATTTCAGCTAAGATAAGTATATACAGTGTGAATTTAAGCCAAATGGAATGCGATTCTGAATCAGAAATATGTTGATGACGAAGGTTTTTCCCTTATTCGAGGAAACACAGGGTGAATTTGAATATATCTCTAACTCAATTAGGAGTATCGAACATTCACATCAGAATAAATTCCACATTCTAAGTTCACCCAAATATTGACAACCAGTTATTTTTTCTAGAAAGTTCGATGAATGGCTGAAAACTGGAATTGATTTTTTCAAAATATATCAGGTCTAAAAGGTATTTCTCTATAGAAATGACCACCATATGGCGGATTTTTGTTTTTTTTCTGTATATGCCAGCAACTTTGTTTTTTCAAATGATACACCCTGTATATTTCTACATATTCTGTATCAAATGGGCAACTAGGTAATTTTTTTATCTTTTTTTTTTCGCAATTGCATACCTCGTTAGTCCCAGCACTGGGACCAAACGCCCCATAAGTCGAAACTTGTGCGGGGTTAGGTATACCGGGTGACACAGGTTATCGGGCCACCCCTGTAACTTCTGCATTCGTCAACGGATTTTCCTGAAATTTGGTACAGTTATATTTATAAGCAACTATTTCGGATTTGATCACATTAAAATCCAATATGGCGAACTTCCGGTTTTTCTGGAAATGCCAGCAATTTTGTTTTTTCAAATGGAGCACCATGTATATTTTTACATATTCAAGTTGAACAGGTCAAAACAAGTGCAATCTTGATGTCAAATGTCATTTATTCCACAGCCTACCTAGTTGAAAAATTATTCTAACTGCAAGGACATTCATAAACTAGTCGTTGATTTTTGAATGTATACAATTTGTTACTGCACCGAAAAACAAAAATGATATGTCATTTTGTTCCTTAATGTATGTTCTAGAGAGACGGGTAGGTGGCCCATAGGGGTTCCATTTGAAAAAAAATAATTTTTGATCAAATAGTGATGTGGCTGAATTGATTCCTGGACAAGTGACACAAAAAAACATTTTTCAGAAAAAAATATGTTCTTCTGTTATGTGTGACTCATTGTGAATAGTCTTGACCACATCTCATTTATCCACGAGGTAAAATGAAAAAACAATTTTAATTTGAATTTTTTCGAAAAATTGACATTTGTAATAAAGATTGCACTTGTTTCGACCTGTTGAACTTAAATATGTAAAAATATACGGGGTGTTTCATTTGAAAAAACAAAGTTGCTGGCATTTCCAGAAATACCGGAAGTTCGCCATATTGGATTGTAATGTGATCAAATCCGAAATAATTGCTTATATAACAGTACCAAATTTCAGAAAAATCCGTTGACGAATGCAGAAGTTACAGGGGTGGCCCGATACCCTGTGTCACCTGGTATACATAGAAACACAAACATCCATGGCCTAACTAGGATTCGAACCTAGGTCTTGGTGGGAGTCCCCATACGAACTCAGCGCCTTAACGCTCTCGACCACCGAGCCTATAGGGGATAGTTTTTAAATCTACCAGTGGCATTCGAAAATCAACTTGACTGACAAAACTTGAGGAGAACAACATTCTTCTTAGGTAATTGATAAAAATTAAGACTAGGGAAAGATGCATTAAGGTGGATGAAAGTTGAGAAAGGAAAAATCACAAATGTGACATAGTTTCATTGTCATTATTTTTATTTACTCACTGCATCAATATAAAGCATTCAATTCCGCATTTGAAGACCCAAACCTTTCAATTTATTCCCATGGGAGGAAAAAAATGTATCTCCCGAGGGAGGCAAAATGATTAAATAAATTGCTTCCTTGGTAGAGATAAGATCTGTGCCACTCAAGTACCTAATCAGTGTCTCCATCACTACTATAAAACGAATAACAATTCCATTTTTAAACTCCATACACCTCCTTATACTCCAAACTTACTCATACTCAATCGAAACTCCAAATAAATTGCGATTACACAATAAACAAATTCGATGTAACAGAAGTGTCAACGTCAAATTGATTTCCGTTCCGATTCAAACTGTCTGTAACCTTAGATCACATTGGATGGATCGAGACTCGAGAGATAGAGCTTTTGAAGCACAATTTTGAGAACCACGCTCTCAAATACAGGGTGGCTCTTTGCAAACAAAACAGAGGATCTGTAGGTCGCCAAAACCAGATGATGTAAAAAATATGAAACACGTCAACTACATTTTCGAGGGGGACATCGTGTGTGTGGAGTAGAAATAGTGTTGGTGCTAGAATTGATCCTTGCGGAACACCAGCATTTATGATAAGAGAGTCAGACGAAACTCCGTCGACCACTACATGGAGAGACCTGTTTAAGAGGAAACTAGCTAGCAGAAAACATAGCTGGGAAGGCGAGCCATAAGATGAAAGCTTGGCGAGGAGTCCGTGGTGCCAGACTCGATCGAATGCCTTGGAGACATCAAGTGCCACGGCTAAGGTTTCACCATATTTTTCTATAGATTGCTGCCATATATGTGAGACGAAAGCGAGCAGGTCACCAGTTGATCTCTGATGACGGAAGCCATATTGCCTATCGTTGATAATACCAGAATATTCCAGGTATTTCATGAGCTCGATGTTGATAGCTTTCTCTATGATTTTTGAAATGATAGATAGCAGTGCGATCGGTCTGTAGGTGCCAGGTAGAGTCTTTTTGCCTTTTTTAGAAACAATTTTTCAGTTGGAAGGGAGTATCCCCAATTTGTAAGAGTAGTTGAACAACTTGCAGAGAACGGGTTTTAGTTCGGGAGCACATTTCTTGAGCACAATCGGTGATATTCCGTCAGACCCACAACATATGCATTACTTTCGGTCACATTTTCAGGATTGATATGATTTATTATCATATATGGTAATTAAAAAGCATAATAGGGTATCAGTAAAAAAACTCACGGCGATTTCATCCTCGATGCGAGTGACGTTGAGTAGAGGCCTGACCTTCTGCCACAATTTGTACCACGGCCAGGTGCGCAGCTTCAGGTACTTGCGCAGGTTCCTCTGGCACACTTGGAGAGCCAGGCGCTGTTCCTGCAGCTTCTTGAACTCCTTCCTGGAGAGGTAACCTCGTACCCAGGACTGCATCCAGGTTACGATCTTGCTGAGACGCTCGTCTCTGAGTTCCTCCATCTGACCCAGGACACCAGCACGGAAGAAGACCTAGGTGGTTGGAGTTGGTGGTTAGGTACCGACCAGAACCAGGAGGTACGCGTTTGGGAAGAGTCGTTCAAATCAAGTTTTCGATTATTTCACTGGTTGAGACCTTCACAGACAATATGTCGCTCTGCTTCTACAGAGTGACCTATATATTTTTTATGTTAAAAACGGAAGCAGATTCTTTTCCGAAACGTCCGAAGCTATATACCTTTATTCCTCTTCTCCAAACCTTCTTCAATACAAATTGTCACTGACAAGCTAGTGAATTTTTCTTTTAGACTCTCTGATAGGAAAATTCTTCAAACGCAGTGACATTTTGGGACAAATCATCTGATTTGTCCTTACTACACATATATTGAGATATTATTCATGTTATCATTTAATAGAAACGAGGAGAGAAAATCCCAAAAAATCTGGAATAATGAATCATCAATTTGATCTATTTTTCAGAGACAAACATCATTTTGAACAGTGTCGTGCTCTTTCATCGGGATCAAGTCGATTTTTATGAAATCATAATTAAAAACAAAAACAACTTCTTATCATTGTTCTTTGTGCTTTTGAACCTCTATTTGCAAGAAATCACCTGATCATTCCAAATTAACAGGAAAAATAGTTATATTTTAATATCATAATACATTTTATTATTCTATTCGATATTTTTGGATATTCAACAGATATAAGGAAATGTTGGACGTGGCAAATAGCCAGGAAAGTAGTTGTTTCCTGTTGAATATACAGAATGATATTCAACAGAATGCAAATTCTCTATTCAGAAGATTTTGTTTTCAAATTCTTATCGTGTGTTCAATAGATGTTATTCAATATTTGTCGAGGCATATAGCCAGGAAAGTAGTTGTTTTCTGTTGGATAAACCGAGAAAAAATTAATATTCATTCTTTCATTGAATGTGATTCAGTTTTTATATTCGTCTTCCCATAAAAAGTCCATTCATCGGCATAAACAAACTACTTGAGGAAAAATATCTTTCATTTTGGTATCGAGTTCTTCCCAATTCATTTTCAATCAACATGTGAATATTGAAGCTGAGATCCTGGAACGTCACTGGAGGATATCTTTGGGATGTTCTGAGACGCCATTCACATGTGAAAAATAGTAACAAGATGGCGTTCTAGAGACGCCTTAGTATTATTTGGGTATCATTCTCATCACTCTAGGACAAATGAACCATTTCAAGAATGTGATCATTCGTAAATGTAATGTGAACACTTATTCTATGATAGCTGCTTGACTCATGATGATTTCAATCTGGATAACTGATTCTAATTTGATTTGAACAACTTTTCCTTCAACAATACATCAGCTGCGAAGCTCCATTTCATTATTATTTGCCAGCTCTAAGTAGCATACTCATTGAAAATCCTTTTAGGTCAGATATTATTGAAGCTCGGTACCACATCAATCTGATATAGTTATACCTTGGTATGACCTAGGCGGTATTGCTCAGGATCCAGCTGTATTTGGTCCAGTATCACTTTAGCTGCTTTTTCTGGTGTTATCCCATCTTTAATAGCGCTTGCGGCCAGAATTTTGTATCTGGTTGACGCAACAACAAACAATTAACAAAAAGCAACACTTGAAATACTACTGCTAAGGGTATCTGATTCAAACTACAAGATCATTCAGTGTCTGTATGAGAATGATGGTGGGAAATAACACTCATAACCATTTATCAGTTCAGGAATAATGGTATGTGGGTTGAACAATAAAATAACATGCCTTGGTATGACCCATACGGTACAATTCTGAATCCAAGCCAGACGCTTCCAAGATGTGAGCTCCTGCTTTTTTGGGATCACTTTCTTTGGCTACTGCAGCTGGGTTCAGGATCTTATAACTAAAGGGTCACTAATTAGTAAGAGAATACGTCGGGTGTCAAAACAATACGAACACAACACTTTCATTGGGGTCAATAAAACCGAAAGAACCTTTCGAGAAGATATTTCGTATTTTGAAGTAACCCAGGAAATGTTCTGTTCACTAAATACTCAAAACTATGACGATACCATAACTTCTACAATGAATAAACAATACTGGGGACATAGTGACAGTCACAGGAACGCTCGGACAGACCTAAATGATATGAACATGCTACATTGGAATGGAAATAATTAACGTTACAAGGAATTCTAAGGGAATTTCCTTGCCTTGGTATGACCGACTCTGTAGCTGTCTGGATCTAAACCGACTTCTTCCAGACACTTCCTACCAGCTTCTTTCGGATCTTTTTCTTTGGCCATTGTAGCAGGAGCTAAGATCATGTAACTAGACCATGAAATAAAATGTCAATGTCCAGAAAACATCAGTTGCCTAATTAATAAGATTGTCAATGATAATGAACATGGTTGATGGTGATGAATAAAAGTCAAGCAAACATTCTCAATCGATTCACTAAGGTATCCAGATGGATGTCTACTGAATGGAAATCTAGCTGGTTGGCTACAAATGGGTAGATATGTTTATTATTGCTCGAACTATTCTTATTCGTTCTCAATGATAACCTTTAGTTAGTAGGTGATGGGTGGAATATATTGTCTGTTCGTTGAAAAAAAAAACTTCACAAACGATAAGATTTCCACAAAATTCTTAAACACGTATGTTAGGAGGATAGGGACAGGAGATAGGTATTGGAAAGTTTTATGAACTTCTGGAGATTATATGTTGTTGGGAATACTTCCTCAGGCAATGAATTCCAGAGCCTAGCCGTTCTATGGATGAAGGAGTTTTGATAAAGTGCTGTTCGACATCTTACGAGGTTGACAACGAAAGGATGTGCTGACTGGGCTTGTCTAGTTCGTCTGACTGGTATTGCTAGTGAAGGGATGATAGCTGAGATTTCTGAAGAACATTTCCCGTGCAAGTATCGATAGAGTTTCATTCCTTCATTTTCTACGCGTAGGACTTCGAAATTATCATTGAAACTATGGTTTTCTTCTAAAAGATTCATCTCATCTTCATGAATACGCTGATCAAACGTACGACCTGTCTGACCGATTTATACCTTAGGACAAGATCAGTTGAGTTTGTATACCCCTTATTTTTCGAATTCAGAAGTTCTATCTTCATTATTTTTGATAAATCTTCCCAACTCTTGTGTTATTTGTTCTATTATGCTAGTTTCGAGTCCTGAATTGTGGGAATCTTATCGTCTGTGAAGTTTTTACAAAAAATGTTTGTATGCCAATGGCGCTAGTTTATTGAAAACATCGGGAGCCCATTCATTTTGTTTGTTTCAATTGAATAGTATTCGTCATAATGAAAGATTTGAGATTGAAATTATCAAAACCAGACCGCAATATTACAATTCTGAGTTTATTGTCGGATTTCAACTTTCAAGTTAGTTGTTGGTTTGTTGTTCGTTTGATTTTGTGTTCCATTTTGCACTTCTACAAGAGGTGAAGGATATGAATTCTTTAACATTCCTCTCTCTACGATGACGTGAGTATTTCAGATTATAACCTGACAGAAATGTGGATCATCACAGGAATTTGAAAATCTTCTAGAATTAGTATAACAATTTGGTCAGTGAGGGCGGAATCTGCAAAACACACTATGTGTTCGTTTAGTATGACAATGAACTGTCTGAATCCAATGTCAGTAAAAGTTGAAATGTCTAATGTGACAAAGAACCAAACTTTCAAAGAGGTGAAATGGATAACAATACGAAATAATCCACCTTCATCGATAGCCATCAGAGAACACATTCAACATTTTGTTGATCTATCAAAAATTGTTTCACCAACGTGCGACAATTGACAAAGATATTCAATACTTTCCACAACATCGAAAAATAATAGAAAAAAATATTAGCCAATGATATACAGGGTGAGTCATGAGGAACTGTACATACTCCTACCACGAATAGTGGCACCTGATGAGGGGAAATACCTGATGTCCATCAGAAACTTTCGAAAGGCTTCTTCTTCTTTCATTGAATATTCAGCTACTACTCTCTAATCGACTGACTTATTCAGAATCGGAGAACTCCAGGGCCGTTCTTGAAAAATTTCGATAGTTCAGTTAATAGCAAAAAGTGCATCCTGTATATCGTTTTTGTAAACTGTGACAGGGAATTTTCGAAGGTCACAAACAAACGTCAGAAATAATATATTCCAAATTTTCCTCACACTTTCACTCCAGTTTGAAAATACTGAATTTTATGAAAACACGAAAATTTGTTCGAATAGCTTCTGAAGAATAATTGTGAATAATCCTTTATTTTCTGTTCGACTATCATGAATTATTACAATCGATGACGATCAATATCTTGATAGATACCACGGAATCGAAAAAGATCTACAGGGTGATCATCATGCACCCTCCACAGAAAATGAAAAAACGAAATCCAGACCTGGAAATCGAAGAACATATTGATTTCCATTGGGCTCAAGCATTGGGAATGTGAGTCTCACTTTTATTTCTAGAATTTATGCGATGCGAAATAATTATGTTCGAATGAATAAATTTGTTGTCTTACTTTCGTTTTTGCTTAAAATTTGTCGTTTTTTGAAAAATTCTGTGAAAGTGTGAGGAAAATTTTGAATACTTCATTTCTGATGCTTGTTTATGTGCTTTGAAAATTCCTTGTCACAGGATGAAGATTTTGATAAAAAATAAACCATCGAAATTTTTCAAAACCGGCTCTGGATTTTTTCCGATTCTGGGAAGGTCAGTCGAATAGACTTGTTGAGAAGTTATGCCCAAAAAATGTTGTTGGCATTGAAATAAGTGCAAATATTTCAAACACTGAGAAAGCTCGACGTATACTATCGAATGGCACTAATAAAAGAATTCAGGGATCAAAATAACATTTGGGGTTAGACCTCTTTTTCCACCCAATGTACTATCCTGTGGCAAATTTGACGTTACCTTTGTTCAAATTCCCATGCGGTAGGCACAATCACGCGGAGTTCAAACATTCAAATTGTTTCAAAGTGGCGTAAGTACTTGATTTTTTCCTCGTATTTCGTGGAAATTTTGGGATGAAATTTCTCGTTGATTAGACGAATTAGAAAAAATCTGATATCATGGGAATATTCCTTTGACTTTAAAATATCAATGTGCTGAATATGTACACTTATTACAAGAACACCATGTATATTAGTAAAGAAGAGAAGAAGACACTTTCTGATGGTCATATGACATTCCCCTCAATGGCCTACTGTATTCGTCGTAGTTCCTCATGACTCACCCTGTAAATCCATCCAGCTGACGAATAAATGCTGATCAACAGATCTTCATAATAAAGTTACTCACCGAAGTTTGAAGTCAGGGTAGACCATCCTGTTGGGGAAACCTTTACGACAGATACGGATACCTTCAAGTACACCGTTACATGTCAACTGGTGCATCACCAAGTGGGAATCGATCACACCAGGTTGTTTCAACTCGTTGGGGATAATACAACGAACGAAGTGAGGTTGGGTAGACCTCAGAGTGGTCATCAAGTTGTTAAGTTGTTCCTATGGAAGAATAATCGGTGATTCACAAGTCATCAAGCAAGCGCGGCATTGTTATCAAGTTAAGTTGAGCTGAAAGGTGAGCAATCACTTGAAAGCTTAATACTTGTTAATTGCTGATCGTAGGAGAGTGAGGGTGTTGAAATATGGAAGTTAGTAGGAGGTTATTTCTCCATGAAGGAAGGACTTGGTATTATGTACTATAGTGACGTTGCTATCCATTGCCAACGCTACAAAACCCATGATAACACAGGGTCCTTTACATTTAACAAAACCGGGTATCGAGATGAAAAATAAAGAAGGATGTTCTAGGGGGGATAAACCATACTGTACTGATATGGTTGACGAAATGTAGAACTTGAAATTCCGTCTCATCAAATAACATATATTCAAAACACTTTTCGTACCTTGTAGGCTGATGATACAGTAGCGAAACCACCACCCTTCTTACCACGACCTATTTAAGAGTAAACAGTAAAACTCGTTAACAATCTTCTAGAAATTTAGCCAATAATCGTGATATAGTTATCCCCATACGAAATGAAAATATTACTGATAAGTTGACAATGCGCGATGTTAAGGAAAATGGTTGAGGATCAAGAATTTGAAGCTGCGTCTCAAAGCAGATTGAAAATCCATTAACCTTGTATAAACTGGAAACGGTCTGGAAAGCAGAACCCTTTGTTCTCTTAGAAGAACCTACATATGAGAAACATAATAAGTTAAAATGGTATATCTTATCAACTCCCCACCCAATAATCAAAATAGTTCTCTAAATCAAATTAAAGTTGTATATGTACTATCCAATTAAAAAAGATGTGGATAATTTCTCAGTGGCTGAAAAACTATACACACTGCCAATGAGAAAGTGGTAATTACCCTTCTCAGCAGCTCCACCAGACTGTCCAGGATGATCAGCAAAGATCTCTACCAACAGTTTGTTGGACCCCTTCTTGAACAAGTCACAAACAGTGTCGTTGAGAGGGTCCTTGTTCTTCTCCAACCAACCAGTGATGTTGTATGGTACCTATTCCAAGAATGGTCATAAATGTGACACAAGACTCTCTCAATTGATATTGCAGCACTTACATTACCAGCGTAGTGACCAAGAGTGAAGTGAGCAGCTTGTTGACCAGGCTTTGGTGGTTTGGGTTTCTGGAAGTTCGGAGATTTGCCCAAGTGGTTGGTGTTCAGTTTCTCTTCGAAGGTCTTGTCCGTGGCTTTGGGGAACATAGATTCTTCTTCAAGAATGGACAAGATACCCATAGGCTAAGGAAAATGTAAGAGTAAGTTAGGCGATGCTGCCAGATTTTGCAGAAGTGGAAGACTCGGACTCTTCTCAGAATTAATAACTTACCTGCATACCTTGATCAGTGAATTTTCTAGCAATAGTTTCGATCAGTCTTACCTATCTATTATATGGGGCTAAAGTTAGGTGCTTCATTGTATCTGAATAGTGATCTGTAGTGATTTGAAGTGAACTAAGAACTAAGCTATAAGATTGCTACAAAGTTTCTGAAAAGAGTCAAAGTACTGGTGATGAGTTGCTCTACAATACCTGGTGAAGTGCTCAGGATATACTGTGCGTGCAAATATTTAGTAAACAATTTTGTACTGTGCATATACTACCAAGTGATCAATCGTACACAGGGATCAACTACTAAGTGTTCTTATATGAAATACCTTCTCGATCAGATCTATACATGGTTGCAAGTCCATACCAAAGTCAATGAAGGTCCAGGTGATGCCCTCTCTTTCATACTCCTCCTGTTCCAATATGAACATATGATGATTGTAAAACTGCTGCAGTTTCTCGTTAGAGTAGTTTATGCACAGTTGATTGAAGCCATTGAACTGTAAATACACTGTTAGCTCAAAAACAAAACAATTTGCTTGTCTCAAGACTCAAGACAGCTTGTTAGTGTTAAGCAGATACATAAAGGGAAAGGGAGAGGTAGTGCAATGTTCAGTCGCTTGTTGGATACCTTCTCGATCAGTTCGATACAGGCTGCCAAGTCCATACCAAAATCTATGAAGGCCCATTCAATGCCTTCTCTTTGGTATTCTTCTTGTTCAAGAACGAACATGTGATGGTTAAAGAACTGTTGCAACTTTTCATTGGTAAAGTTGATACAAAGCTGTTCAAACCCGTTGAACTAACAAAAACAACAAACAAGGTAACTAAGGGAGCTTGATTCACAATCCTGTACCATAGGTGGAATCAATAATAGGGAGACACATAAATATTATGATACAGGGTATACATATAGAAGCTTTTGGAGGTAATATACAGTTTGGAACATAGCTGAGTGAGTAATACAACATATATGTACATATATCGGCACCAAACTTGATGGGGTCTTCCACCAAAGGTTTACCTTCTCGATCAACTCAATACAAGCTGCCAAATCCATACCGAAATCAATGAAGGTCCATTCAATACCTTCTGATTTGTATTCTTCTTGCTCCAACACAAACATGTGATGGTTAAAGAATTGTTGCAACTTTTCATTGGTGAAGTTGATACATAGCTGTTCAAAGCCATTGAACTAACAAAAACAACAGTCACATAACTACGGGGGTAAGATTCACAATCCTGCATCATCGGTGGAATCAATACAATACAGTACACAGGGTGAACATTAAGGAATAGCAGTTGTTTGTTTTGCATCATGAGTACTTCCACCATTATGTAGAATCATTCGAAGTTAATTCTGTGGACAGTCAACAAAACAAAAAACGCTTTTCTAGAATGCCAACATAAACAAGACATACACAATACAAATCAAATAATATACAGGTCAATGCATTTCCCGTTTAACCATCGCAACTTCTTCTTGCGTGTAAAACACAAAATGGCGCTCTAAAACTTGTTGCAGCTGTCGAATTACCTTTTCGATCAACTCGATACAAGCTGCCAAGTCCATACCAAAATCGATGAAGGTCCATTGGATACCTTCCGTTTTGTATTCCTCTTGTTCCAGCACAAACATGTGGTGGTTAAAGAATTGCTGAAGTTTCTCATTGGTAAAGTTAATGCAGAGTTGTTCAAAACCGTTGTACTACAGGACAAAACAACTAGTTACATTCCAGTCAACAACGAGATTGAGTGTGTGCAGTAGGTCAGTGAAGACTAACTCTCGCTTGGGGTTAGTGAGCATGCCTACCTGCAAAGCAGTTAGTGGAAAAGCTTGCAAACCTTCTCTATGAGTTCAATACAAGCTGCCAAGTCCATTCCGAAGTCGATGAACTGCCATACTATGCCCTCTCTGGTGTACTCTTCTTGTTCTAACACGAACATGTGGTGGTTGAAAAATTGTTGCAGCTTTTCGTTAGTAAAGTTAATGCAAAGCTGCTCGAAGCCATTGTACTAAAGCGTGAAGAAATAAGGTTGTTAATGATATTCGGAAGCTGATGGTTTGCTTGGTCTCGACATCATTGTGCAGATGCAGCCTGGTCACCAAATAATACTTTTTTGCAAAGGATAAGATAGGGAGCATTGAAGAATAAGCAAGCGCGCTATGTAAACCATTTTGTGAAGTTACTGGAGTGTATTGATATACCCAGCCTAATATGTGCTAGAAGTAGTCAGGCTTTACCACTCCAGAGAAAATTGTCTTTCTGCAAAAGATATCTGTAGATCTCTACATATTCATTATGAAGATCATATGAGATCGAATACCCCCCTGAATATCGTATTTGGAAGTGTACTTTGTTTAAATTTGACATGTACCTATATAATAATGTATCTGAAAGTGAAAGAATCAATTAAACTCATTTAAAAGTGTGCATATTGTTCCACCATGAACAGGAATGATTTATAAAAATGTGTTTGTATAATTTGTGAGGTGCAAAAACGTTCAAACTTACATCGAAGATTTCGAAACCAGCGATATCAAGCACACCGATGAAGTGCTGTCTCTTCTGCTTGGTGTCCAGAGTTTCGTTACATTTCTTGACCAAGAACTTGAACACCCTGTCGAACATACCCTTCGACATAGCGCCCACAGAGTAGGACACTTGGTTCACGTTACGCCCTTGGGTGACGAATTCATTTCCGACCTTGATCCTTGGTTTGACGAAGGCCTGGTAGAGGGCAGCAGCCTCAACTCCCAACAGTTTTCCCACTTTCTCTCCTTCCTGGGAGTGAAAACGAGAAATAGGTACAGTGGGGTTCATATGGAACGGAATTTCAGTTTTTAATGAGTAGCCCTGTACATTTTTTTGGGGATCTTACCTCGGTACCGTCTGGCTCGGCTTGTTCTTCACGACCCCTTTGCTTGAACTTCATGGTACCCATGTGCATGACAGAGGCAGTGATTTTGTAGACATTGTCTTTTTCTTCTTGGGTGAAACCGAGAATGTCGAAGGCTTCCTATTTTGAGAAAATACCAGATTATACAGGGTATATCTTCATTATTTAACGCGATCCACTAAATGTGGCACGATTCCGGAAATTCGTAGGGGTGAGAGAAACATATGGAGAATCCAAATAAAATATTTCAGTATTTGTTAAGCTACCAGTTTTTCAGGACCCACTTTTCTGCACACTCTTCACATTATTTTGGGCTGCATTTGTCAGTTTTTCTAGAAAAACTCTCATAACTCGAAAACGGTTCATTTTATGATACAGGGTGTACCTGAATATTATCGAAAAAATTCAAGAAGTGGTTCCTTGTGATATTTTAGGAGATAAAGTTCTTATGAACAGGTGCCATAACTTGCTTCGTTTTCGACATACAGGGTATCAATATTTCCATGAAAAATCGTTTTTTTATTTATTACTCAATTGTCTTTCCATCAATATCAATAAAACGTTGTGGTTACGTTAATAGTTATATGGAGCTTCTTCTGGTGCAATTAGAGTCGAAATAATATTTCCAGTGGCGTCACAGTGGGTAAATTCATCGATATTATATATATTTTTATCCTCTGTGTGGTTTGAGTATCTAACCTATGAGGAAACAAAAAAATTTCGATTTGACTCCAAATTTCACTTTCATTGAGATCACTCAATAACCTCAATCACAATCATTTTGAAATTCCAGGGCTTCCTCAGTCTCTAACCCTACTGAATTTTGGCACTATGAAAGCTTATACAGTATGTCCAAGATAAGGTTGCACAGCATGGGGATCTCGGAAACGGTAGGGGATACGAAGTCGGTTAAATGGGGAAAAAGTTGCGCATTCGGAGGCTCATACCAACAGCTTTCGGAAATTTTCAATATTTTCTTTAGTTTTTCAGTTATATCGAAAAAAGTGAATTTTTGGAATCTCAATTTTTTTTTCTCCGTTATTATCAGAGATACCGGAAAACTGAAAATACTTTTTCATAGCAACTTTTGATGACGTTTAACGTGGTGATACCGATTTTTCTATGCGACGTTTCGTATTCGTAGAACCATCATCAACTTTCGTTTTTCGAATACGGCCCTGATAATTCTTTCAAAGATTCTGAAAGCTTCTTTCATTCTGAATTCAACCATGTATTATACAAGGTGGTTCGAATGTGTTTCGAACTATATTTAGCCCTCATCAATGTTTTTTTCGAAATTCCAAAGGAAAAATGCCATCAGTTCCACTTATTTCGAGGGAAAATCAGCCAACAAACTAATACCTCATCAACTAGTTCCGATAGATAGACTTATAGGAATGATTAGTTCGAAAAATTTAATTATGACAAGCTCCTTCGGATTAAAATATGAATACAATTCATGAACAATTCGAAGCGCTGCATTGAATAATTTAGTAGATTTTTTTTTCACTTTTCAATATTGAATAACTAGTCCATCAATGTTTGACACTGAATAATCAGAAATAAGTGAAACTGATGGCATTTTTCCTTTGGAATTTCGAAAAAAACATTGATGATGGCCAAAAATAGTTCGAAACACATTCAAACCACCTTGTATAATACATGGTTGAATTTAAAATGAAAAAAGCTTTCAAAATCTGTGAAAGAATTATCAGGGTCGTATTCAAAAAACAAAAGTTGATGATGGTTCTACGAATACGAAACGTCGCATAGAAAAATCGGTATCACCACGTTGAACGTCATCAAAAGTTGCTATGAAAAAGTATTCTCAGTTTTTCTGTATCTCTAATAATAAAGGAGAAAAAAAAAATAAAATAGAGATTCCAAAAATTCACTTTTTTCGATATAACTGAAAAACTGAAAAAAAAATTTAAAATTTTCGAGAGCTGTTGGTATGAGCCTCCGAATGCGCAACTTTTTCCCCATTCAACCAACTTCGTATCTCCTACCGTTTCCGAGATCCCCATGCTGTGCAACCTTATCTTGGACAGACTGTATAGGGGGATTATGAATGAAAACGGAGCCAGTTATTATACATGTTTATATAAAATTCATTTGCTAGAATATCACGAAGAATCACCCATTGATTTTTTCATGCTATTCAGATACACTCTGTACATGAGGAATTTAAAAATGTTGAAAAATACAGGGCGCTCTATTGGAAATAACAAAAAAGGAGTCATTTCCTGAAAAACCGAAAACTCCATGAAAACGAAAATATTTTAGTTGGATGCTCCATGTCTCCTTCACCGTCCCTATGGATTTTCAGAATGGTGTCACTAATAGTTCCCAATATACAGGGTGTCCCACAAGTCATGGATCAAAACAAGTGGGGTGGTAGGAGGGGCCATTTCCAATCAAACTAACTGTATATGTGGTTATCCAATTGTTGATCGTTCAAAAGTTATGAATTCCATTCCATTCCCATAAAAAAAAAATTGTAATATTTGTAATTTCCTCTTTCACAAATTTCATTCGCATAAATATACCATAACCCAGGATCAATTTCAATGGTCTGTGTCTCACCTTCTATCAATTAGGAAAAATATTGTTTTCCCGAAAATTTTGTGGATTGAGATATTTAATTCTGTTGATTTTCTTATGCCGCTGGCAGATATAAAAACTACCTCACAAGAATGATCAACTGTATGAAAAGGTTGCCCATTTAATACAGATTCCGAAACAGAAAAACATACGGGGTTATTCAAAACAGCCTTTTTCAAATGGGTCGTGTTTTTCAGAAAAATTGAATAACTTTTAAACTATCAATAATTGGATAAGGTAAAACTGCATTTATCACGCGATGGTTTTTTTTTCGAAATTTTTTTTTGATACTCACGTATTCATGTCTGAAAAATACGAATTTGATAATGAAAATGTGAACAAACCTCTATTTATCGAGATCTTTCAAAAAAAAGTTCGAAATTTCGCCTTCTTTTTCCCGTTGTGTTGGATGCATTTATAGGTAAAATGATATTTTTATTTTGTCATTAGAGACTTTATATACTCATGATGTACTTCAATGGCACATTTTTATAAAGAAAATTCAACAGGAAATATGATTATCATGGCGAGTTTTTTATATTTAGTGAGCAAGCATGCCAGATGACGGCCATTCAATCAATAGTCAATCCAAATACAATATGTCAAATGTCAACATATTGCTTTTTAATGACATTACACATGCCATTATCTCAAATGATATTCTTCCTTCTTTCCACTGAATATGGATAAATCACATCAAGAAAATCATGATGATGATGACTCATATAATAGAAAAAAATTGTGTCGTACATTGTGAATTAGGTGTAAATTGTCCAATGATGAAGAAAGAAAGGCAAATTGTTCTAAATGCAATCCAGAAGACAGGCGGAAAAGAAGGTGAAAGTTATAACTTCATAGTGGAATATCTTAATAAATAATGGTTTGTTCACATTTCCAACATCAAATTCGTGTTTTTCAGACAAAAAAACGTAAATACCAAAGAAAATTCTCGGAAAAAAACCCATCGCATGATAAATGCAGTTTTACCTTGGTTAACCACATATACGACGGTTAGTTTGGTTGCAAATGGCCCCTTCGACCACCCCACTACTTTTGATCCATAATTCATAGAACACCCTGTATAGATCGCGTAAATAAATGAAGGTATATCCTATAGTTATCTAGGTGAGATACGAAAACAAGCAAATTGAGTCACTCGGTATGTTAGTGTTAAGCTAGAAAGAAATTCAAAGTTAATGTTATGGTAAATAAGCAAACAATTAGTCAAGGATAAACTCCACATCCTTAGTAATCATTGTTGACTTGATGGATTCTGAACAAAAACATTCGATTTGACTCGTAGAAACTTACAATCACTGACGTAACATTCCAAACTTACAGAACATATCAGAAACCGGACATCACAATTTTATAGGTCGCGTGCACGATGACCGACCCTGGAGGCAAAATATTGAAACACAACCTCATTCTTCTGTGAATTATTGAAACACAACCTCACTTTTTTATTTGGTTACAGGGGAATCAAAAGGTTGAAATAGTTTTTCACAATATTTTGGCATACGAATCGTGTTTCTTGCGTTATTCATTAATTCAAGCATGCCTTCGCATTGTGCTGTTGTACAATGCACAAAAAATGCAGCAAGAGACTAGGGCATATGATTTTTCAGGTAAATAGTAATCTCACATAGTTAGCATTATGAAATGTTGTCATTCCTAATTAAAATTCCTTCTGCCTTCTGCCACTTCTGCAATACAAGCTAATGCTGCTAATAGACTGAAAATGTCTACAACACACACGTTCGTCAGCATGTCAGACCAGTCCTACCGATTGATTGCATGAATCCAATCTTCTTGCATTATTCTAGAAATTTCAGGTATATTTCTATTAGCTGATCCTATTGCAGAAGGAATTCCGATGAGAAATCAGAGAAATAACCAAATTTCAAAAATGAAAACTATGTGAGTGACTATAGTAGGTACTTACTTTTGAATCATAATGTACCATCCGGATTTCTTCATCTTCCGCTGCAGTTTTTGTGCATTTTACAACAGCACAATGTGATGGCATTAGCGAATTGATGAATAGCGGAAAAATACGATTCATATGCCAAAATAATTGTGGAAAACTATTTCGATCACTTGTAAACAAATATGTTTTGCCTCCAGCGTCGGTCTTATGACAGTTCTTGCACGCAACCCATATCTGTAACTTACATCCGTCAACCTAAATTCTTCAGCGTCATCCACATTGGGAATAGTAGTTTTTCCTTGTGACACCGAATGATAGTCATAAATGTCGTTCGAGAGCTGACATTTATCTGTTCAATGAAATAATAAGTGAATTGACACCATCTACTGGTCTCTATACAGGGTGAGTCATGAGGAACTGTACATACTCCTACCACGAACAGAAGCCCTTGAGGGGAATACCTAATGATCATCAGAAAGTGTCTTCTTTATCAATATATGAAATTCGGCAATATCATCTTTTGGTTATAACTTTTCAACACGACTGACCTATTCAGAATCGGGAAAATCCAGGACCGTTTTTGAAAAATCTCGATTGTTTGGTTTTCATCAACAAGTTCTTCCTGTATTCATGGTATTCGTAAACTGTGGCAAGGAATTCTCAAAGCACACAAACAAGCATCAAAAATAAGAGAATTCAAAGGAAAAAACACAAACACTAAGTCGGTCGACCACAAAGTTTAATTACAAAAGTTTTTACTAGTTTCGACACAATATACAGGGTGATTCACATAACTATCGACATAGGGCAGGGGCATGTAGGGGGTCCCAAAATATGGCAATTCAACGCAACTCACCTCTATACCAAGTTACTTCCCTGAGGAGTTATAGGCATAGCACTAACAGCATGTCAACTTGCTCGTTAAAAGAAAACTTCCCGTTCATTTTAAAGACACTCAAACAACAATTACTCAATTGAACAACTCACTGTCAAGTTTGACGTTTATTTTCATAGCCAACTTTTGAATTTTCGATGATTTTAAATAACACACCTAGAGCGCGCGTTTTCAGTTATTCGAGTTTTTGATGAAAATGATGAGGTTTCTCGAAAAAATTAGTAGAGTTAGAAAAGTTTCAGAATTGAATTTCCCACAAAAAAAAGCAAAGGTTTTTTTGAATCCATCAAGGGTTAACAAAATTATGTTGAATATTAATGGTGCGCCACCCGGTATACCTCCTTTACAAATTTCAATTGAACTCTAGTTACTGTCAAGTAACGTCCTAAATACATCCACAAAGTGTATCAAATTTGGTTGCTTTAAGTTCAAGAATAACGAAGATATTGATTTTTTTTTCAAAATTTATAACTTCACTTTCAAAGCCTATATCTCCTTAGGAAAGCAACTTGGTATAGAGGTAAGTTGCGTTAAATTGCCATATTTTGGGACCCCCTACATGCCCCTGCTCTATGTCGGTTCTTATGTGAATCACCCTGTTTATAGTGCCTGTAAAGATATTGGTTTACAAGAATAAAATGACATATTGAGGAAAAAACATACCTATAAAAGGACATGTGGACATGTCACTGTCACTGTCACTGTCATTTGTCCTGTAATTCTGTCAACGTCTGTTGCTATGCTTGACATGTCGTTGCCTTCTCCTTGGCTTCTGTCTTTCAGAAAAACGGCCATTTCAAGATGAAACTCATGTGAGTGAATTTACTGCTGGTTTTTCCCAATTTTTACCAATATTGAATCTAATTATCATTAGGTTCTTTTGGCTGTTCAGTCGGTTCGAAAGAATATCAATTTTTTCACCGGTTTGAATTTTGGCCAAATGACCCTGCTATTCATATTTCAATTAATTTAATTATGTGATTCCACATGTCCTTTTATAGGTATGTTTTTTCCTCAATATGTCATTTTATTCTTGTAAACCAATATCTTAACAGGTACTATATATATTGTGTCTGGAGATGGCTGCTTGAGCCGAAACTAGTCACAAAAACTTTTGTAATCAAACTTTTGTGGTCGACCGACATAGTGTTTGTGTTTTTTCTTTGAAAAAAACTGGACCACTTTGAGAAGGATGGATGGTTTCCTTGACTCGATAAGAGAATTATCAACAAATCAATGAAATATAAGCAAAAACGAAAGTTTGACATATCTTCGTTCGAAAATTATTACTTCGCATAAATTTCACAAATAAAAGTAAGACTCGCATTTTCAATGCTTCAGCCTAATGGAAATCAACTTGTTATTTTATTTTCAGGCCTGGACTCATTCAATTTTTTGTGGGGGGTATAATTATCACCCTATAGATCTTTTTGGAATCAGTGGATGAGGTATATGTTTAGGTGTTAATGATCATCGGTTCAAATAATTCAAGATAGTCGAACAGAAAATAAAGGTTTTCTCACAATTATTTCTCGGAAACTTTACTGATAAAGGCGGATAATAATTCTAGTACGAAAAATAAGTGACCAATGAACCTGTATAAAACAAATCAAATAGATAAAAATGTGAATTGAAATCATGAAATTATTTATAGGCGATGGCCATCAACATTTTCATATATACCCCATCCACTGATTCGAAAAATATCTACTGGGTGATTATTATCCTCCACAAAAAAAAAATGAATTACTAAATCCAGCCATGAAAATAAAATAATATGTTGATTTCCATTGAGCTGGAGCATTGAAAATGTAATTCTCACTTCCATTCGTAAAATTTATGGGTTGCGTAGTATTAATTTCCAAATGAATAAATTGTTTGACAAATTTTCGTTTTTTCATCTTTATAGTTTTTTCCAAACTGCAGTGGATGTGTGAAAAAAATTTTAAATATTTTATTTTTGATGTTTGTTTGTGACCCTTGGAAATTCCCTGTCACAATAAATTAGCAAAAACGATATACAGGATGAAATTTTTGCTATAAACTAGACTATCAAAATTTTTCAAGAACGTTCCTGGATTTTCCTGATTCTGAATCTCATAATTCGCCCTATATACATTGGAAAAGAAGTGAAGAAGACACTTCCTGATGCACATTCGATATTCCCCTCAGGGGCATCTATTCGTGATAGGAGTATGTACATTTTCTCATGACTCACCCTGGTATAAATTGCGCGCTGGCACTTATATACAGCAATCCAAGAATAATAAGCATATTTACATATCAGTGCCTCATTCAAATGAAATATCTCCCAGGTATTTTAGACAGAACACAGAAGAAAATATTTTGAGGGTATGAATTGTTACAACTCTAGTTTCAGTGGATCATTTAGCATCAATACAGTATTTTACATCATCATGGCTTAACCACGCAATTAATATCATATTCTGGATCGATTCTAAAATTGCTGGGCCGATATAATTCTGTGAAAATTTTGCAAATCTTTGCTTACGTCCGTCACAACTGCCTCGTCACTATCGTTAACACCCGGTATTCTGGTTTTACCTTGACTAATGTAATGGTAATCCGATATACGATTACTCAACAAACATAGCTCTAAAATAAAGAAACAGTGAGTGCGAGAGAATAAGCTGTGGGAATTAGTACAGGCAAGGTTTACAAAGATCAAAGATACGAGAGGGAAGAAAGAAAGGGGCTGCAGTGAATACAAAACAATTGTTCAGTGTCCTGTTCAAAGGCACTTACATCTGTTACTCTAAACTCTTCACTATCATCTACACCGGGAATGCTGGTTTTTCCTTGCGCCACAAAGTTGTAATCATTGACGTTATTCGACAACAAACATTTTTCTGGGGAAGGGAAACAAAAATAGATTCAGTCATGTTTCGTAGCGACTAAATTGCTGTTTCCTGTAGAAACAACGACACATAGGGGAAGACAATGAATAGGCTGCGTTCTGTTCTGAAGAAACAGCCAATTCATGAAGGAACACACACAAACAATAAACACTCATGTCCTGTGGGTGTTTGGTCCATATACGTATTAATAATCAATACGGATAATCTCTATCTGTTTCCATAGCGAAACATGAAGCCGATTTTTGAAGACAAATGACTATCCATAAGGAAAAGTTTTGAATCGATCAGATACATACTGCTTTGATTGAAAGGCTAGTAAACGTCATTGTCCACCGAAACGCATGTCTTTGATGACTACTATAATACACTGAGAGAAACTGGATAATAAAAATATCTACCAGCTCTGATTGTAATAACCTTTATAAGGAAATCTCCTATTCCTGATCATTTTATTATTACAACAGTATTCTCTCCATTCTGTAATTATAAAAATCGATTTCTTAAATCATTTGTAATACCCTTGAATGGACATTTGCTACCATCATAACGCAGGTGTGTTATGACATTATGAGAATTTTATAAATTCCAGTCTATTCAGATTTTTTATTGACATAGCTCGTTTTGTGAATTATGCTCATTGGCGAATTCAGATAATGTTTGTCCCAATAATCATAGCTGTTTGGGTTTCTAGCATTGTACGTTGACGAATAACTCTAGCAATTCACATGTATGACGGTTATTAGGAAATCATTCGACAATCGTAATTCGGCTCACTTCGCTCTAGTGTTTCATTAGTATTGTGGCTGACAAAGATACAGATCGCGTTCATTTCTCTGTTCTCGGTCATGGGTGCCGTGTCTTGTTGGTGAATGTCTGTGATGTAGCAAAGTTTTTTTTTAGTGCTGGCTGTGAACCGATCTGTGGAATACACCGTGCATTGCATTATTGCAATGAAAAAAGTATTCTCCATACCCACTTTTCGAGGCCTAAAATTGGTTTATTTCAAAAACAAAATGATCGATGAGATTCTGAATCAAAATATCTGGGTTTCTGTGAGGGAAGTTTTATTGACAATTCTCATTATAACTCCGAAGGAAGGGTAAATATAAGTATTCAACTTCTCATTTCTTAATAAATTCGTCAGTAATGCATATAGATGATATTTCTCAGAACAAAATCAATGAGTAATGTCAAAAAACTTCCACAGATACCCCAATATTTCAATTCAGAGACTGAACGTATTTTTTTGTTTTTTTGAAAACAATAACTTTGGATCATGAAAAGTGATAGTATGTGGATAGGATATTTATTTTCATTGCAGTAATTCAAAGCACGGTTTCATAATGCATACCATCGAATAATGTTGATAACCTTATATTACCACTGTTTGATGAATATACTAGAGTAGAAAAATATTGGGATAACTGTTGAAAATGAGCTACATTACAATAGCATGTCGAAATGTCAGGTTTCATGCAGATATCAGATAACTATAATAAAATGAGACGAATTACTGCGTTACCTCAAGATGGTTGTGCCAGTAATAAAAACATGCTGTTTTATGTCGATAGTCTAATAACCACTGTAGAGTGGAGAGTTACTGCAACATTTTATGGGAATAATTCCTATTCGACATTCTGTGTTATCATAGAAACTAGAACAAGTAGTAGTTATTCAGCAGCGGTGTTTTTATACAAGTTTGCAAATTGAATAAGCTGCCATAACTACAAGTCACCTGAAAATTCACTTCATCTGTGGTAGCAAATGAACACATCTGTCCCCTATTTATTGCAGATATCGTAATAACGGTTATCAGATTTCCAATTATGATAACTCAAGTTTTCTCTCACGCATGGCGCATGCGTATCATGCCACCAAATCCTTATGGATATTCATTTGTTTCATATTTTTGGCTTCATCCTGGCACCCGTTATGATCCGTATTGTTTATTAATACGTATATGGTTTGGTCGAGGCACCCGCTCACGTCTGTCAGTCTGAACTCCTCAGCATCATCAACTCCAGGGATTGTTGTTTTTCCTTGGGCCACGAAGTTATACTGGTTGATGTCGTTAGATAAACAACAGTTTTCTGTATATACGTGAAAAATAATTTTAGAATAATGTTGAAGTCATTGTCTGTGGAATGTTCTTAAGTTGAGTTTGTCTTGGGGTAATGACAACGAGACAAAATTCATGCAGGAAATGAACGAAAAAGTCTGCTAGTCTTGAGGAAGGTATTTCAGCTTACAACTCTCGTCTCAAGTTCTGCTCCATTATTTGACGAAAGTTTGAAAGTCAGCCACGATTTTCTCAAAGTATTCATCTCCAGGCTAGGACGTAGAATTTGCCATCAAACTACACTATTTTTCGTGTAGAATTATCCGGATGAATTTGATTTATTAGGTTTTGATACATCCACAAAATCCTGGTAAAGGCACCAGCTCAGGAGAACTTTGCAAGGCAGTTTAATAAATGACTTTGACGTTTCTACTTTCTGTGAATTCCTTCGAAAATAATAAATCAAATTCACCCTAATGATATTTCCGTGACACATCTACTAGCCTAACAATTTTTTTATACAATTAGAACATTAGCATCTCCAAATCTTCCAAAGAGTCAGACCGATGCTGATGTTCCAATTTTGAGCTTATTTTCACCCTCTAAAATCCTAGGAGCAACAAAAGCATCTCCAGAGGATGGTCAGTCTCTCGCTTCTCTTGTTTCAATGAAAACTAATGTGTTTGAACTTATATTCAGTTATGCTATTTGTACCAGTCTTTCAAGAATTTAGGAATCATTAGGATATACAGTGTGACCCACTTCTAATGGAATAATGGAAACACCACTGTATTTTACGTAATCGTTGGGTAAGGATCCTGAAATTTGCTGAAGCAAGAGATATACCAATAATGCACTCTATGACCAAGTGATGTCATCTCTAGTGATATACACTGCTCGCCAACAGCCACGGAACCACCCCAATTTCCGGAAAAGAATATAAGGAGGCAAAATAGGACGAAAATAACTACAGATTCGAAATCAGGGCGTCCAATTCACTAACTATTTATATTTTTCCTAGAAAATTTTCAGTTCTGAAAAATTTAATTTTGTCACACAATTTACGGAAGCACCCCCGTATCTTGAGTAGTTGACTTCATCTTTAGACTTTCCTTTTCTCCCGCAAATTTCAGAACGCTTCCTCAATAATTACGTGAGATATGGGGGTGCTTCCATGAGAAGTGAGACAAAATTTAATTTTCCTAAACTGAAAATGTTCTAGGAAAACTATGAATAGTTAGTGAATTGGGCGTCCTGATTCCGAATCCAAAGTTATTTTCAACCTATTTTGACTCCTAATATCATTTTCCGGAAATTGGGGTGGTTCCATTGCTGTTGGCGATCAGTGTATATCACTGAGAATGGCCCCACTTGGTCATAGAGTACATTTTTGGTATATCTCTCGTTCCATCATATTTCAGGATCCCTACCCAACGAATACGTAAGATATGATACAGGGGTGGGTCAAACTGTATGACACTCCATCATACGAAGCTTCCATCTCTTATTGTAAATATACAGAGCGGTCAGAACATGTATTCAAGTTCCACGAATTCCAGAAGATCAATAGAAACTAACCACTTATGTTGAGGAATTATAGAATTAGTTGTTCATCAATGTTTTTGATATTTTATGGAAGCAATGAAAACTATGATATCCTACAACTGTAAAAAACACTGCACTTTGTTCAATATATTCTGTGTGCCTAAAGTGTATAAATTTATACGTATGATGATGAAATATAATGATAAAAGGGTGAAAAAAGTGAGCTTTTTTCTACGTTTGTTCTAGGCGATAGAATGAATTCTTGCGTGAAAGGGGCTCATACACTACGTTGTTGGTAGGCTTTCTGTTCGACGAACAAAACAGCTCACCAACAACGAGGTCTATGATGGGCTCCTTTACGGCATTCACCAAGGCAGCAAGCGAACAAATCAAGGCACCTGCCTTTGTATTCCGTTTGGAGTGCCAGTAAAATAGAGATGGGAGCGACAAAAAGAAACCACGATATCTTCGCGTATTAGATAATAATATGCTCGCTCTCATGTATGATTTGATAGGAGAAATATTGTATGTAGCACGTGCATAAAGTGTTTTTTTACATTTCCTACTCGCAAGAAGAGTACCACTTTGCACACTTGTTACATGAATAACTATTACCTTTTACTCCAGGTACAGCTCCAGACATGATCTGGTAGAAGATGTGGTAAGATCTCTCAAGGGTCTGTTGAGATATGACACGAGCTTTCTCGAGAAGATCTGAAAAGTTGATTCTTCAGAGTACAAGGTATCACTTTAATATTCATAGTTATACAAAAAATAGGAACATGTCTACTTTATGATCTATACAGGATGTTTTCAAAATCTAGACTAGAAAAGAACGTGCTAGAACGAAGTAGAAGTACAAAATTAATTTGGGTTGATTTAGAATTTCGGAATTTGCTTGGAACAACGAAACCCGAGTGTTTGCTTTTGGCAAGGTCAGAAGCACCAGAAGTTTCAGTGACTTCCACAGTGTTGCGAGGCGTTCAATAATAGTAAGAAAATGCGGTACGTTGAGAACCTTATATGTCTCATACACCCTATTTCATTAACACCTTTAATTTCGAAAACATCCAGCAGATGAAGTTGTTACAGAAGATTATCCAACTGACAATAATTATGATTGGTCAATCGATTGTAGGGTTAGTCAAAGTTACTTTTGATGTGTTCATATACTTACAAGTTTCGATATCAGCACCAGCTAATTTACCAGTGGGACCAAAGTGAATACGGATGAATTTACCCTAGAAAGGAAAGAAATAAAGAACAAGAGAAAAAATAGTCGAATGTTAATACAAACATGACTGTTGACCAAACATGAAGAAATATGTTCTACAGTCTAGGAAATAAACTGCTCAACACATGAAACGAAAAATCGCATTTTTTTGATCAAATTTGAATCATCATAACTTTCTATTGTCTCAACCGATTTCCAATTATTTTCCAGTTTCTGAAAGCTCGTTTTATTGACTATCGATTCTATGGATATGACTGTTTCATCTCTCCCGGATGAAATTCTACAGGATGATAATCAGAGCGGTGCATTTTTCCAAAAATTTCAAACGCCTCCCGTTTGAAAGACATTTTTTAAATTTTTTTTGGGGTCAAAAACATTTTGCTTCATATGTTTTCTCGATACTGTGGAAAAAATTTTGGAATTGTCACACGCGATACTGAAATATGAATGTTTTATTAAGATAATGCATAATTTGATGCTCTAATTTCTATTTGCTTTGTGTTCCTGTCAATCTGGTTCGGATGGTGGTATACAGGGTGGTCCTCAAACAACAATTATGACATCAAGTAATAAAAAAAAATCATGTTTTGACGAGCAAGAAAATTTCAAAGTAGGAAACCGATCGAAAAGTTTTCTGGCGTTCAAAGCGTGTAGGAGAGGTGGTCATGTTGCTACAGAATCTATTGCAAGATCAAAACATTGGAATTGTTTGAAAAACCGGATTCTCAGAGCTTTCGATCTCACTTTGTGATAGATTTTCAGTAGATAATTTCAAGGCAGATGAGATAGGCTGAAGAAAAAAATACAGGATGTCGTGTAAAAAAAAAGTTGCTGCCGGGACATACCATGCATTAGATTAACGAGTAACAGTATGTGATTTCATTTGCGGTGAACGTCTTCACAAAGGACTCATATTGAATATTTGTCGAAATTCAAGAGAATAGCAGACCTGAGTCACATGGATATTTGATAATGTTCTGACATTTCTGAATTTTTCATATTGAATTCCATCACAGTCACAATGTTCCAGTTCCATGACTTTTTTTTTAAAATGCATAACTTCAATTAACATCCTGTAGAATCTCATCAGGATAATATGAAATAGTCATATCCATTGATTCGATGGTCAATGAAACGAGCTTTCAGACACTGAGAAAAAATCGGTTAAGGAAATCGAAAGTTATGATGATTCAAATTTGATGGAAAAAATGCGATTTTACTTTTATGTGTTGAGCAGATTTGGGCTCCATCTTCTAAAAATGGGCGATTACAAAAATAAAATGAGTACTCGACTGTTTTAAACGTATCCTGCAGAAAAGGTGAATAGTATCCAAGATACAGGGTTCAGAATTCTCAACTCCACCCTGTATCTCAAAAACTTGAACGGCTATGAAAATTCGATTTGCGACCTCAGTCGTTTCACAAAAAAGTAAGAGAATAATGTGTCAACCGCAACACACTATCTCCAGAGATAACTGAGATATCGAACAAAAACTTCGAAAACTGGACATACTGTTCACTAGTAAAGATTTACATACATTCAAGGTTGAATTAACGTGAAAACAACGTACGCGAAACTCAAACTGAATGAATGTGGAGGTACAGAGATGATCCATGTATTCTTTCGTGCTGAGGAGATATGTGTTTCCAAAGTACAAAATAAAATTCATTGGATTGAGGTCTGGAGAACTTGGTGGCTTATGAATGATTCGACCTCGGTGAAAGACTCAACCATAAGATGATTCATTCATTTCAGAAGAAATCACTCACTTATCTCCTCAGCATGTATTAATCAGGCTGATTCACGAATACTGTTCTAGGATGACTTACGAAACGTGAAGAGTTGTCATTACGAACGGTCTTGGCGTTACCGAAAGCTTCAAGGACAGGGTTAGTTTGTACGACTTGATCTTCCAAGTTGCCTTTTTTGGTGGAGTCTTCTGTCTTCTTGGTTGAGGCACCAACGGTAGCAAAGTAAGCAATTACCTTCTTCGTGTTTTCAGTCTTACCAGCACCAGACTCTCCGCTGTTGGTGAACATATGAACTTTGAGTATTGAGACTAACAGGGAATTTGAATTTATCATGGCAACGCGATCAACAAACCAAGATAAATAACACAGCAAAAACCTTATTACGAATTATACTACGTTATATTTTGATTCCTGCGTTAACATTACTGTTTCGTGATATCTAGAAGATATAGTTCGGTTCTCAAAAAATCTATTCAAATCTAGAATCATCAGAAACTGTAATCAACGACGAGGAGAATTCACATTTTGAATCAATATTATATACACACACTGGCACAATTAGGGGAACGGGTGAAATTTACACTAAGTTTGACATCAATTTTCTCTCGAACCGATCACTCGATTCAAATTTGTTTTTCATGAATTGTAGCTTCATTCTTCACGAATACATCTGAGAAATAACCACCTCCAAACGATTCGTCTTTATATCATATACAGGGGTGTGAAGAAAGTACGGATTTTTCGGTATTCTTTAAGACATCCTGTGGAGTGAACCACTGATAATTGTAACGATTTTCCAACACCAAATTATAGCCCAATCTATTCCAAATATTTTCGTTTTTCATTCATCTTGATATCCCAATTATCCAAGAAAACATAGAGTTTCAAAGAAGAGGTGGATATTGGTATTAATTTTACCACCTCGAAATTCGAACTGGGGAGAACGTTTCGTTTTTCAACTAGTTTCTGTGAGGATTTTCACTTCAAGATGAGAATTGTTCACACTTTTACCTATCGGTTTACTGTTTAAACATATACGAATACTCTCATGAATATGCAGGGGTGATAAAAGTTGCTCCAATGTTCTTTTGGTGAAATGCTATTTTTGTTAATCAACGTTGGCTATTTTGTTAATGTCCTTAATTATTGTCAAAGTCAAGCGATTCACAATTCATAAATTTGATTAATGAAAATTCAACGTGAGAGATTTGACTCCTACTGATGTGGCGAGGGCTGTAGCATCAATTGAAAATGACCAGTGGGCCAATGTTCTTTTAACATATGAAAGCCGCATCTGCACCAATTCAATAGATGGCAGGGAAAGACTATATCGCCGAGGTGAACAAAATGAACAATTTGATTTCACTGCTTCTGTCTCCTATGGCAGAGGTTTAGTCATGGTCAGGTTAGATTAGTCAAGAAACGACACAATTTCAGATCCAATTTGAGTTTTGAGGTGTAAAATTGATACCAATATCCACCTTTCCTTTGAAACTCTGTATTTTCTTGAATAATTGAGATATCTAGATGAATAAAAGACGAAAATATTCGGAATAGATTGGGCTCCAATTTGGTGTTGAGAAATCGTTTCAATTATCAGTGGTTCAGTCCACAGGATGTCTAAAAAAATACCGAAGAATCCGTACTTTCTTTACACCCCTGTATATGATGGAAAGACTCATCGTTCGAAGGTAATTATTTCTCAGATGTATTCGTGAAGAATGAAGCTACATTTCGTGAAGAAAAAAAATTGAATCGAGCGATCGGTTCGAAAGAAAATTGATGTCAAACTTAGTGTAAATTTTGCCCGTTCCCTTAATTGTGCCAGTGTGTGTAGAAACGTTTGAGAAAAACAGCATGATTCTTGAGTATCAATATAACGCAGCGAAAAAGTTAATACAAATTTCACTAGAATATAACGTTATATTTCGATTCCTACATTAACATTGCTGTTTCATAGTATCTAGACGATAGTTTGGATCTCAGGAAATCTATTTGAATCAAAAATCACTGCAAACCTGCAATCAACGATGAATTCACATTTTTTTCATTTGTAACGTTGAATCAATATTGTAATGTCACGTTTAGAACATGGTTCCATGTTCTGTTCAAGAATCTCAATGAATGTTGCATCTAATAAGAATGTTTAGGCAACGTTACTTTATTGATGAAATTGAAACGTAAAAATACAACCATTGTGATGTAATAGAGAGGATACGTAGTTATACATAGTTACCAACGAGTTGTCTGAATGATATTCTTGACATTCATACTTTCATAAAGTTGAATATAGTACTAACACGATTCTCAGAGCTGAATCAGAAAATGAAGTTCAGGAAGCTAACATTGTTCCAGATGAAGGTAAAAAATTAAGAATCGTAAGCGTTTTCACAGATTTACTTGTAGAATATTCGAATAAGTAATATTTTCAACAATATCAGCAATATGTTGAATGTACCACTATTTCATTCTGTATCATTGGAAATATAGTGTGTGGTTGTGAATCGGGAGTGAAAATAAATAAAAAATACTCACGTAATCAACATAGATTGATTCTCGTGGTCTGTAAGAAAAAAAATGGAATGTTAAAACTCGGTTCACAAATACTGGGTGTTTTTAACTTACTGGTCAACATGTTGACGTAGGCACCATCAGAAATGGCAAAAATGTGAGGAGGTACTTCATTACGCCTCTTACCACGGTACAACTTAGCACAACGGTTGGTGTACACAGGGAAACGCTTGTAGGGATTGATGGCAACACAGAAGAGACCTGAGTAAGTCTAGAAAATAGATGAAACAAATGTCAGGTACTAATTTGGAAAAACAAGTTTCATGTAAAAACAGACATTGTATTTTTGTGCATCATCTTCGAGGCTTGTGGACTGGTATTGAATAATTTAGTATAAGTTCCTTCGAAAATACTTTTCCAGGTGTAGAACATGTCAATATGATCAAGTATACAGGCTGATTCACGGTGGATGGCACATTAAACTTTTCTAGAGAACGCAACGTAGGATTATACTGAAAATTTGGTTTCTTGAATAATTACTTGTGTTCTATCCACCCAAAATATCCTCAACACTGCGACGTTGCCGTTTATATTGAAAAGTAGCAACATCTTCGATCTTTTGAATGAGATACCCTGTATATTATCAAATTCTCAGATTCTTTCTGAAGAGCTGATTCCATCGATCTAGTACACTTGAGGTCTAGCGGGAATGATAACAAAGATTTAGGGTGTGAAAAATCGAGATTTTTCAACTTCAAGAACTCATTGTGTCCACCAAAACTATTCATAATTAGTCAAAACGGTTTTTTTGTCCCAATCTCAATTTTTCATGTACTATCAATTGATATCTAATTGAAATAGATAGGTACAGCGGGTGGTTGGAAATCTTAATTCTGAACCATCATGTACCTATTTCAGTTAAATATCAATTGATAGTAAATGAAAAATTAAGATAGGGACATGAAAAACGGTTTGACCAATTTTGAATAGTTTCGACACAAAAAAATCTCTGTAATTGTCACTGCTAGACACCAAGTGTTATAGGTCAATGAAATCAGCTCTCCAGGGAGAATCTGAAAATCGAATGATATAAAGGATGTCCTATTTAAAAATTCAAAGTTGTTGCTACTTTTCAATATAAGCGGCAACGTCGCAACGCTGGGAATATTTCAGGTCGATAGAACACAAATAATTATCTAAGGCATCAGATTATCAGAATAATTCCAAGTAACGTTCTCCAGGATCGTCAAATGTGCCTTCCACAGTGATTCAGCCTGTATTTTAAATACTAATAATAATAATAATAATAAACCAATGGAGTTAAATCCTGTAGTATGTAAATAAGACAGTGATAAATTAGTGTAGTATATGCTGACGTCGGTTATTCCTGTGTTGGTTCATTATTGTTCAGATAATTTTCCATTTCCACTCAAGAAGCGAGGTTGTCACGTTACTAATTATTGAAAAAGGTATTGAAACGTTGTTAGAGCCCTGTCTTTGAATTGAACTATATCCTAATTGAACATTTCATTTGACCTAACAGGAGGAAACCATGATATTATTTATTATTCTGTGACTCTTTCGAGCAACCAGTTTGTTAAAATATTGCTTAAACTTCATAACAACACATCATTTAAATGTTGGCTAGGCTAGAGACTTGACAATGCTGTGCTCAACGCTGATAACTGACAAGACAACGCCCACAATCCTATGTTTTCACGTTTACTGGGCCGAATTTCCTCTAGTGTGAATTAATATGATCATCATTAACACAAATTCAGAACATGCAATGAGACACAATAGAATTATAGAGGTAATAGAAAGATGATCAAGATAATCACCAATACATAATTGAGAATTTGTGATTTGAAATGAAAAATGAGAATATGGCAACTGTGCTATGGTCTGCCTCTACCAACTCACAAAGTCATGACGTCACTTCATATCCGCGTTAAATTCTTAGCCGTTTGAAAATTACCTCCGCAATATTGACGATTCTAGCATCTCAAAAACGAAAGAAAAAATCTGAAAATATATGGAATTCAGAGGTAATTGAGTAATGATTCATTTGAAGCAATTCACAAATAATCCACTTGCCTATTCTATATTATAATTCTTGTTGCAAAAAAATACCATGTTTCATTAGGATCAAAACTGACACTTTCAATGATGATGTAACGAGATACTTTTGTGTGATGAGATATGTATCAAAACAATGATATAATGGAAGGAACTGTTCATCAAAACTCCTGAGTATCGAAGCGATAACTGTTTCCTGTTTTGATACCCAAACAAAGTGTTTCAAAGAATTAGTCACAGCCGTCAAGGATAAAATACAGTGTGTCCCACTTACCATGCTCACCATGGGTATCTTTTTAACGGTGAGAGATACGAGGTCGGCTAAATGACACCAAATGTGGAGTTTGTCAAGGCCAACTATAATGTGAAAAAATATTTCGATGAAATCTATTCGTTTTTGTTTTATACGCAAAAAACAGATTTTGATCATTTTCATGTCTCCTCCGTAACTCCTTTATTTTTGAAAATATTCAAATAGGAATTTCACATTCTCATGGCCGTTTTTCAAAGTGATTTCGAAAAAAATATGAAATTTATACCAACTCTTCTAGAATTTGAGATATCGGCACCAACTTCAGTTTTTCAAATGTAGGTCATAGCTCACTATGACTTAGTTACAAATTACTTTTTTTCCTCTGTCAGATGATATGTCGCAGTAATAGTTTTGTGTTGATAACAACGGAGTTATCGTCATTTATACAAAAACAAAAAATTATTTGGAAGCCGCCATCTTGAATTTATGAATTTCAACAAAAAAATCATGATCTCCGACCTCAAAAACCGTCACTCACCAATTTTCAATGGAATCGGACCAAATCTTGTCCGCCATCTTGGAGCAGCCATTTTTTTTTATTTTAAAAAAAATTTCATGATGTATCGTCACCGAAATTATGAACACCTGCCAAATTTCAAGTTGATCGGGGTTATGGAATTTTTGTTGAAATTAAAAAAATGGCTGCTCCAAGATGGCGGACAAGATTTGGTCCGATTCCATTCAAAATTAGTAAGTGAGGGTTCTTGAGGTCGGAGATCATGATTTTTTTGTTAAAATTCATAAATTCAAGATGGCGGCTTCCAAATTATTTTTTGTTTTTGTATAAATGACGATAACTCCGTTGTTATCAACACAAAACTATTACTGCGACATATCATCTGTGAAAGAAAAAAAAGTTATCTGTAACTAAGTCATAGTGAGCTATATGACCTACATTTGAAAAACTGAAGTTGGTGCTGATATCTCAAATTCTAGAAGAGTTGGTATAAATTTCATATCTTTTTCGAAATCACTTCGAAAAACGGCCATAAGAATGTGAAATTCCTATTTGAATATTTCCATAAATAAAGAAGTTACGGATGAGACATTAAAATGATCAAAATCTGTTTTTTGCGTATAAATCAAAAACGAATAGATTTTATCGGAATATTTTTTCACATTATAGTTGGCCTTGACAAACTCCACACTTGGTGTCATTCAACCGACCTCGTATCTCTCACCGTTAAAAAGATACCCATGGTGAGCATGGTAAGTGGGACACACTGTATATTGATGGTTATAAATTGAGGAGGAAGGTGTTTATGTCCATTGATGATTCGCTCGATTTTAGAGGCATATAGAATCAAACTTTCAGTAAGTATCAGGATTTTTACTTTAGTTATAGAAATCCAAAGTCATTCATATTATAACAGTACCCTTGTAGTGTGAATTCAATTTTTCTCAGGAATCGTTGCGAGAGCAAGATTTTCAGATCTACATCGTTATTTTTAGTGAAAATTACAAAAATTTCATAAATACATTTCGATAAGTACAAGATTGATGATACGAACAGTTCCTTTATAGGGCGTTATAATGGAAAGATGTGTTTTTCAAATGTTGTTATGACAAAAAAAGTGTATAAAATATTGTTACCACAAAAATTGCGATAAGAAAAAAGGTGTCGTTACAAAATAACACGGTTCCAAGTTCACTGTTTGAGGAACTGGAGATGATACAAACACTCAACAATGGAATGTAGTCACTGATTGATTGGGGCGGTGTTTTTTCCGATTTCCCAAAAAAAAACACATAGAGAAAATCCAGGATCTGCATTGGCGGCATTTGACCGTGTTGTCCAAAGCAAATTCAGTCCATTCCAGAAACCAAAATCGTTCTCAGTCCACAAAGATACATCGATAAATGTTGGAAACCTTGTCAGGAAACTGGGTATTAATGATTTTCCATTTTTGGTTCAAAATTTATATATGACCAAGAAATACTATCATTACCGAGAAGAATCCTGCTTCCATACCTATCACTAGACATCGTGAGATATCCAAATAAAATTTATGCGCTGAATTGAGATTTTATGTTTTCTCTAACAAGGACTATTCCACTCATTCAAGAATTCGTACATAATCTGATCAATCACAAGCTGAAGACAAATTGTATTATTGGAATTTCTTACAATTCTGGTTGGTGTTATCAACGATGTAACCATGGACAGCAAACAGAAGTCTGTCAGTTTACTTAAATAATTATAGCTGTAGATCTCAGAATCAATCTCTCTGGTAATATGTCTTGTTCATTTATGATAAATGCTGCATGGAATGAGTCTAGCAAAATACCACTCAGTTCTGGATATCAACTCATGATTCTGATTCTCATTGTTAACTCCATTGTGTTGCCGTACAGCAGCACAATCTCGTGACCAATAAAGCGATAGAATCATCTCGAATATATACTCAATACATCCATGATTTGTTGAATAATTGTTAGAATCTGGTAATATGGAAGTAGAGTGGAATGTGAAGGCAACGTTGGGAGAAATATTGCTAATGCTTTTCCGTCGACCTCGTATCAACGAGTAAGTTTAATGTTCATGAAATTGGTCGTTATTGACCCCAATTAAAGATTGATTTGTCTATAAATGCACGATTGTAGTATAGGCAACTAACCATACACCGCGTTCATTCACTATTTATGCTATAAAACTTCCGTTATCTGCATATAAGTCGAAAATATTGATTTTCCGTTATCAGTTTAGCATTTCCAACTTGCTGAAAAGATTTTTTATTATGTTATGGTTCCCACGAAGAAGGAAATCCTGTAATGTTCAGAGAACATCGTGAGAACCAAATAAAATAAGGTAGATATTGGTGTTCTTCTTAAATCTCTGAAGGATATATTCCTCGGGGAACACCTCCCTTGGCAATGTGTTCCAGAGCCTTGCTGATCGTTGGATATACGAGTATTTGGAAAGAGATGTTTTGCAGGTCTCCAAAGTGACCACGGAGGAGTGCGAAGCCACAACTCGACGGGTTAATCTCGCGGGGACTGCCAATGGAGGAACAATTGTTGATATTTCAGAAGAGTATCGTCCATGAAAATATCTATGAAATAAGGCCAGAGTTTGTGAGCGAGGCATCACCCACGAGACGAATTGCTCTTTTTGGGGCAGAATCCAACAGTTTCAGGGTATGTTTGGGTGCTGCACTCCAAATATGGCAACAGTACACCAGGACAGGTCGGATCTGTGCCTTATAGATCATGAGCAGATGACTGGAAGTGAAATAGCTCCTGGCTCGAAACAGAAAATCAAGTTTTTGGGATGCACTTTTAGCAATTGACCTCACGTGATTTTCCCAAGAAAGGTTATTGCTGATAGTAATACCAAGCATCGAAATGGATGTCTTCAAAGGTATAGTTACTCCTGACAGGCTTATGTTGGGCACAGTGAGATCGGTTTTCCTAGAAACAAGGCATTCTTGTGTTTAATATCTGCTTTGACACATGGAATTAATTTTCTATGTTGATTATCTCAACAAATGTCAAATGTCACTAATGTCAGTGACAAGGCTGCTGGGGAATTTTCACTAGTGTCTAGAAGAATGACAAGTTCGCGAACCAAAAGTTTCATTTATTGCAGGAGAAATGAGGAATCTAGTTGACGTGAAAATTATGTAACCAACTCGTTTAATATCAAATAACTATTGAAATAAATATCTCAATTCTTTTCATTCTTGTCTCAAGTTATTGATTACCTCTGGGTCTGAGATTTTAGCAGTATAGGGATCAGTATTGCGAGAGATCTAATATCGTGTTCAAACAGATTCTTTGTGTCTTTCTTTACTGTGATGAAGGTCGTGTTAGGAGTCTTACAGAGCAGTTATTTTGTTTCCAATATTTATCGATGCAATTTGTGTCGGGTTTCTGATCTCAGGGAATGTCGAACTTCATTCGTCAACTTACATAGATGAGTTTATGGTAATAACGTTGTTTCAAATTATGCAACACGGAAGCATCGTTGAGATAGGTCAAATTGGACATATCTTCTGCTTTCTCGTACTTGGGGGGGTTGACTTGAGTGACTTGGTCCTTCTTGAAGTCTTTGGTCTAGACGAAGACAAAAATAGAGGTTAGCTTCGTTGGGAAGTACTTACGTAGATCAGTTTGGCGTAGTATCGCTGCTTCAGATTGTGCAACACTGCAGCATCGTTGAGGTAGGTCAGGTCGGCCATGTCCTCAACTTTTTCGTATTTCGGGGGGTTCACTTGATGGACGTTTTCCTTTTTAAAATGCTTTTCCTATCGTCACAAACTTTGTTAGAATGGATACACAATCAAATATCTTGAGAGAACGTGTGTCATTAAGTGATGTTTTCGAGTGAATTTTGATATGATCAACGAAATTTTATCTTTTCAAAGTTATTCTAACAATAATCTGAAATAATATTATAAAGTTGATATCAGAGATTATCTTATAGATATTGAATGTAAGAGCAGGCGATATTTCATTTGAAATTCTGGAGTTGGGGTCATTTTAAATACTGTCTGTAAGTTAATCGAGGAGGTGGTACATTCAGTTTACTTGGTTCTTTGGGATTTTCTCTCCTCGTTTCTATAAAATAAAAGTATTCGTATTATTTCAATATATTTGTAGAGGGACAAATCAGATGATTTGCCCCAAAATGTCACTGCGTTTAACAAATTTTTCTATCAGGGAGTCTAAAAGAAAAATCCAGTAGCTTGTCAGTGACAATTTGTTTGAAAAAATGTTTGAAGGAAAGAAATATAGATATATTGAAAAAATATCGAATTTGTACTTATCTTTGGACGTTTCGGGACCGATTCTGCTCCCGTTCTCAACATGTAAATGCAAATTATTTTTCTTTGAAATTTTTGCTGCGTATAGTTTGACACTTTTCAATGTCATACTGATGTTGGCATATGAATGAGTGATTTTAGTCTACATATGAGTTACAGGATGTTTTCATTAATTGATCTTGAATCTACCATTTTCATGTTCAGTTTTCAGTAGTGAATACCATGTTCTATCAATATCAACTGAACAGGAAGCAATGCTATTGTCTCCGCTTGCATTCTTCTTCTGGGGTCATTTTGTTTCGAAATTAGAGCTTGTTTGAAAAAAAGTGTAACTGACATACAAAGAGTGCTATTTCGACCTTCCTAATTTGCAACCGTAGATTGATTTTCCAAAACAAAAACTCCATAATGTTGTTCCCAAGAGCTCTCTTCGAAAATGTGTACAAATCTGATATATTCAGATTTTCTAAAGGCCTACTGATGTTTGATGAATGGGTCAATGGTCAATGAAAGACCGTTAACCTATTCGATTGAAGTATTGCTGAAATATCCCCATACAAAATTTCAACGTAATACCTCGTATTGGGTGTTGGTATTTTGATGGCAAATTTTGAAATCTTTCCTTTTTCAGCTCACTCTGTATGAAAATTTAAGGAGTTAATAGAACCGGTGAAGTAGTCATCCATAGAAGACAAAGGTCATCATTCTCACGTCTTCATAGGAAGATTTCCTCAGGTCAACTAAAAATTTATGAAATTGTAGTTGAAATGTTTTTCATTATGATCAGTACCTTTCTTCCTGGAATGAGGAATAGTATATTGATCTAGAATTTTCATTCTATTTCACCATAATGGTGAAATCTCCTTGGAGCCTGGACATTGTTTATGTGTTTATATCTATTTGTGTTATATTTGACAGCTTTCAATCATCCAAGACCATTTTGAAAGTAACTCTTCGGTCAAGTGAGTTGATTTTTTGTAACCTTAACTTTGGTTTCATTGATTTTGGGTTTACCTAGGGACATCTTCCTGTAGAACACATATCGATAGAACTCCGTATCTTATCGGAGTATTTCATGTACCAGTTATAAAGAACTCCTTAGATTCCATCAGAGGGTTAATAAAAAAAGCAAAAACTTCGAGATTCGTCATCGAATAGCTAACTCCCTATCTGGAGTATTGGGATCAAATTTCGTGAGGGGGTATTCTTGCTTCGTCTTAATTGAAAAGCCTACACATTTTCTTCGGAATTTTGACCCTTCCATCATGAAATAGTAGGTCTTGGAATCCTTTAAATTTCAGATTTGGAAGAGACCTCGTTCAGTACTATATTATAGAAGGTTTGTTCTGGAAAATCGGTCGAGTTCCAAATTTCGATCATGTTGTGGATTGAAATCGCACACATTGTAGTTGACTTTATAGCCCAAGAGCAAATAAAATGGAATTTTCTCACTTGTGCAATAATATATCATTATCGCTCTAGTGCGATAATACGAATCTATCACCCCAGGGCAATAAAGTACATATTAACTCCCGCACTACGCAGGAGACCAGGACGTCGAGTTTCTCGTCAATTTTACCTCTCCTCCAGGAATTCCAACGGTGACGAGATCGCCCTTGGTGCCCTTGATCTCTCCCAGGACGAACCCTTCCTTGTCGTCCGGTACCCAGCATGATTTCTTGGCGTCATAGGGCTTGGTCTGGTCGATGCGCTTCTGTTCTAGGGACACGAACAAGTAGGGGGTTGGATCGGGATCATCCCCTTCTTGTTTCTGTGGCTTCGGCATGGTGTACGGACTGCAATCGGGCTATCGAGACACGTATTCTAGCCCTAGAGCCTTCCTGTGAGGAAAAAACAACGTTAGAAATGCGAAACTCGAAGAGTAATGCGAGTAGTGCAATAATATGTCATTATCGCTCAAGTGCAGTAACACGAATTTATCGCCCTTGGTTGATAAAGCACGTGTTAACTCCTGCTCCAGGCAGGAGAAGTGAACCACGTATCGCAGATCGGTCTGGCATGAGTGAAATAGGAGACTTGATTTCTCCATACCGTTTTCCACTCAACTGATATTGTGCACTCAGTGTATATCTATCATTGAATAGTTATTCATGATGATTAAAGACAAACAACATTTAGTGAGGTCGAAGTTCCAGCCATCGCGAGAAACGGAAAACAGTATCAGATTCACTTGTCATTTTTATAGATAAAAATACCTAGTACCTAGTGCGATAATAGTTCATTGGCGCTCAAGAGCGATAACACGAAGTTATCACCATAGGTTGACAAAGTGCATGTTAATTCATGCTCCAGGCAGGTGGCATCAAGCACGTATGACAGGTCGATCTAGTTTATCGACTCGTTTGTTGGAAGATTTCGATATTTTTATTCTGCAATATCCATAATCGATGTGAAATATTGCCTAACCTGACCAAATCCTTTGGGGGTTCGATATAGAAAACCCTTCATCAGTCGAGGCAGATTTCAATTGTGCGATAATATACAGAGCTTTTCATCAGAATAAAAATTACTTCAGAGGCTGTCAAAACCCTCTATACAACAAGTACCTTTCGACTACATTGTTTAAGTTGTGGTAGAAATATGTATTTTACTTCAGAGATATTCATGTATCTATACTCTAGATCTAGTGGACATATCTGGGCTTCAATTTTGAAAATGATAATCATTTTTGAAGACGCTATAGTGCAAACTTCTGATTTTCCACAATTATCGTAATAATTCGAGAACGGTTGAGGGGGATATGTCATATACATTTCTTTAAAAAAATATATACATTTCGAATGTGATGAATGTTATTGCGCCAGAGTACCCCCCAACCAAAAGTTTGAAAGCAAAAATGTTTCTCAATGAAGCAAAGCTCCTGAATTCCTTCCACAACTCGCTCAGTTCTTGAAAACAACCTTTCGGACTCTGCTAGAAAAATCTGTGAATGAAATGACTAACATAAATATAATATCTGATTATGGATGATTCTGCGATCAATTGTCAACTATACTTTTCTTGATAATACCACAGAATACTGAGTTATAACTGTCAAATATCGGAAATACCAAATTTTAAAAAATATGGAAAATGTACGATACATATTATTCAAATATCTAACACAAAACAATAAAATTCCTGGGTGATACCATATCGAATCATATCTGCAACGTATAAAAAAAAACAGATCACTGTTCCCGCTTTTCCATATAGGGGAACTTCAATTCATGAAGCAGAATATCGGAAATGAATTATTGAAAGTATGCAAAGTATGCAATCAAAACTGAGAGATTACTTGAAGATTCAGGTACCGATAGTATACCACCTATATATGATGTAATTATCTGTTGTGAAAACGGGAAGTGTTTGTTTTCGAAATTTTGCAAGATAATTCAGAAACAATACTAGTTATATTCGAATATTTCATAGATAATCGAACGATAAAAACATGTGGTCTTTGATTTTTTATTCGAACGACTCCAAAACTTTATGAATTAAAAAGTTGAGTCATGGAATATATCCGAATATCATCTATGAAACATTTTTTCATCAACTCTCTTTCACAAAATCTCAACTTTGATGAAGATCATCCAGTGCGAATAACAATCATCATTATCAAAGATATCGATAACTTGTGTTCTGTATCATGTTCCAGTTCAAATTAGTGGGATTAGGAATCTTTAAATAAACAATATTCTCGAAAACTAAAAGAAATTATTAAATTCTGCAGTTCTCCAGTACGTCTTATATTGAGAAACGCGATATCACTTCATTTTAAATCAATCAAGAGAAATGTTGCTTCACCCAGTCGAGTTTCGTCTAAATTTAGTTGGGTCAAAAATAGACCAAAAATGTGGCACAATGTATGAAGCAGATGAAATTTGAATGGACTGCTATTTCCTATCGACTAAATATCAGTTACCTACCTACTTCAAATCCTTGACGAAAAGAAATTGGGATTTTGAATTCCAAAAGAACCTTCAACTATTCAATATCAGCATCATGAGTAACATTGAATGATTCATAGTACCATTTTAACTTCCCATAACCTTATCAACCAACAGATAATCATCATATTCTGTGATGAATGTACTAACAAATCCTAACCAATTCAGCAGGAAATGTTTACGTTATTACAGTTTTCAAAATAGTCTGTGCTTATTTCCGAACTAAACTCATGCCAAAACAGTTGAGTAACGCAAATACATTGATCCCAGTTATGTCATTTCACATTACCTATACTAACGCCTGTCTCAAAATAGCACCAGCGAAATCTAAATTAACAAACAGTCCACCATTTACGGTCTGCTTCCAATCGAAAAATTCAAGATGGCTACGATTTGAACACACGTGCTTGTCCCATTTTTTTTTGTTCTCGTGTTAAAACTATAATGTTGTCTGTTATAAGCATGCAACTTGAAAAAATTGGCTTCCTATGTCATACTAGCGCTTCTTTACATTGTTGATGAAGGTGATGACGACACTATGTATTTTTTTCCAAAATCTCCAATGGCGGACCATGCACTTGATGAAATCCAAATACAAGTGATGAACGAAACAAAAAACACATGGAGGAGGTAAATGTGGAAAATAATTCAGTTTCGTACCACCTGGTCGTGTCATTTGAATCGACTTTTGACGAATTGAAAAAAGTTCCTCTGATTGAATCAATTAGTTATACCCGTCTAAATTCCATTCTCCCCCTACCAATTTTTGAACCACCTGGTACATGAAAAACTAATTCAAGATGGTGCTCAGTTGCCATTTTGAAAACTTATGCTGTCATTTCCCAATAAAACAAGTCCTGTTTGAGCCATCCGAATTTCACTGCGATATACCAAGTGATTCAAAAATTGGCACTGTGTTTGAATGGAGTGTACATGTTTGTCAGCTTCACATTGCTTCCACAGTTCAAGAACTTCTCCATGGTGATTGGTTATGACGAACAGTTAATAAATCCGCGTTAGAAGCTTTCCACGTGACCATATTCTACAAAGCAGCTCAATTTTTGAGGCTATGGATATTGTGATAGTTGGTTTGTCCACTCAGAAACTCCTTTGCAAGCACAAAGCTTCTTTTACTAGCAAGAGAACTTTTCACAACGTAGTTTCGATTGAACAACCAGGTGTCTATATCATTTCCCGAATTTACCTTGCAACAATTTGAAACTGAAAATCAATCACAATAGCTAGTATGACACTGAAATACAATCGAAACACAGCACTCAATAGCACGTTTACAGTCCATGTGAGTACAATCCTGGGTAGCTATGGACACAGATGATAATCAAGCACAAAAATATCTCACAAGCACTAGTCACTTACGTTCGATATGTGATCTGAACGAGATTTTCAGCTTGCAGACGAATATAAATGTCTGACACCGTATCCTGAAATGTAACGCCGTTCAGGATTGGTCGACACTGGTAACCAATGGCCAATCGCGTTACTGAACGGTCTGTCTCCCTTTTTAGGCGCAGGGTATCAGGACTAGGCTGAAAATACACGTGGAAAGCTGGGTTTTTCGGGGAAGGGGAGGGAAGGAAATATGTGGGGGAACAGACAGGTACATCAACCTAGCGCTGGACATTACCGAGACGACTGGGGATCGAGTATTATCCAGGCACTTGTCAGATTTGTCATTAGACAATTTTTCTCAGTGTTTTTTCTATACTAGGTGAACCAGAGCTTTCATGCCAGGAGATATCTGGGTTATCTAACATACAAAATAACTTGTGGATTATGTGTTACCATAGACTCCTGAGACCATTATTAGATGACCAAACTTACCTTTACACAAAACCGTTTAGAAGTTACAGGGCGTTTGGAATTGAATTTAGATCTTTTATTTTTATGCAACACCCTTACTTTTCTTGAATTCATGGGGAAATATGTGCTACATATCGAATGTCATACGAACATCAAGTATGAATCTGCAATAATACAATAATTAATTCTGAAGATTATCAGGTAGGCATCAAATTGATTTTGGTCAATCAACTTGCAATCTAATAAGAATTTCAGAAACTTTCAATTGAGCCTGAAGTTTGACATTGAATTAGGGAATAGAAACCAACATTGAGATCTGTTTAGTAGCATACCTACTCAGAAGAAGTTTTATACGTTTTTTTATCAATATATTATGTAACATAAATAGTATGGATTCTTTTTCATGCAAAAGTCCTTTTAGTGTATCTTAAATATCTCAGAACGATATTCATAAACAATATTGAGATATACGGAACAATTGAGCTCAATTTCGACGTCCTATAGCGGTTGAATGGAGCAATTTGGTGAAGAGGTGAGTTTGTTTCAATCAACTCACTTTGGTCTCAAAAGTCTATGGTATCATTTTGTACAGATCTCTCAGGTACACCCAGTATATAGGAGCAAAAGCTCTCTGAGGCAATGAAATAGAATTACCCTTATGTCGAACAATCTTTTTTTCAACTCTTGGAGCGCACGGAAGGAAATTCCTATAATGTTCGAAGACCAACGTGCCTACCTAGGGAGGATCGGGAGAGGAAGTAGTTGTTGTAATTTTTTCCGAACTACTGGAGGTTATAAGCTCTTGGAAATACTTCCATTAGTAGATAATCCCTCAGCTTTTCTATATATTCACTTGTTCACTTCATATCTTACAATAACAAATGACGGCACATGAAAGAATAGGAGAGACAAAAGAAGAAATATGGAAAACACATCAATTAGTCGATAAAATGATTTCAATAAAATGAATCTGATAGGCTGTTGGACCATTTCATCGATCAACCAGTACTGTTCCAGTGATCTTTCTGAAATGCATGGATTATACACAAGCCGCAAAAATATAGATTCACATACATCCATAAAAAATATACTGTTTCAACAATAACATACGTATTATTTGATTGAAACAGCAATAGGCTTGAACTTTCTCATCATCGATTAAATCAATGGACCATTAATTCGCCAGCGTTGTCGTGTTTCCTGAGAATGAAAGTAGTATTGAACAAGAGAGTGCAGTGCCTTCCCTCTCGTATATACAGGCAGGTAAGGTGTCAATTTGATGAAGGACAAAATTCAATATTGCCTAGACTATAGACCAATGATATCATGGAGATTTGAGGAATAAAATGTCACCCCTATTTTTTGTAATTCTTGACCTCTTTTGAGTATTTCATCATCATACAATTTTCAATAGTTCGTGCGATATTCCAATTTCGAAATAATTTATTCCACATCATGATTCCAATCATGATTTTCCTCTAGCAATATTTCAACTGGAAAATAAGATTCGATTCAGACGGAATAAGTAGAGGAAATTGCAACCAAGAGTATCACCAGAATATTTTCAGATAAAAAAATATTATCCGAAACTATGAAATTATTAGTTTCCATAGATATACAGTATAGTGTACCTTCAACTTCTACTATTACTCAAACCTCGTGGATCTTTGGATTTTGTAACCTTCAAATTATTTGGCTGTAAATGAGAAGATCTACATCTGTTATTTCATACAATCTGTTCATATTGTTATAAATATACAGTTTGTAGATCATAATTTCTTCATCGGCGTAATTAAGAATGTGATCAACATGTTTTGTACACTAGAAAATTCCTTCCATAAATATTAATGAGATAAATATTTCGGATAGTATTTCAAAACAATATTGTTGAAGTGTCCTGAAATGATGATTTTATAAGTAAACAAATCATCTCCAAACCTTCTCTGACAGTTCAGTTAGAGTATCATATTTTTCCAAATTTAAACATTGCTCAATATAGTGTTCCTAGTAAACTATTCGGAAATATTTGAAAATAGTAATGTTGAATCAAACTGTCTGAATATTATCCTGGGGACCAGAGGCTGGAAATTGAACAATTTCAATATATTTACTGGATTTCCCTGTGAGTTAATAAATGAGAACCATGAAAAAGAATTGACAAAATATAAATTGATGCAAAATTTTTGGAAAAAAAGTGTCCACTGATATGAATCAACATTTATTTTCTTTCATAAAATTCATGAAACATTTGTGGAAATCAACTTTCCACAATGGAACGATTTTTTTTCTGCAGTTTGAGTAAAATTTTTTGAAATCACCACAGCTGTTAGGTCTATACCGGGTGACACAGGATATATATAACAGCCTCTAGTTTTCTTATTTGAAGAGATAAAAATTTGAAATTCACAAGAGCTATATTATCGATGATGGCGCTTCTCTTGAACCCAATGATAATTTTTTTCAACCACCTGTTTGATTGAATGATCTTGTATATTTTGTAGCCTTGTAGCCTGTATCTTATTCGCCTTAAAATTCTCTATTCAACTATGTATCACAATTTGATATTCGTTCATTCATTGCCTGTTGAATTGCATTCAATTGAAATACATGAAGTTGGCTGTGACCCGAATACAATGACATTTCGATGCTTGATAGGCTTAGAAAGACGATATTATCAGAATATTTTCCATACCCAAATCGGTCCCAGAAGATTGCCAATGATTTCATTAGGTTAAAAAAATCATCCGAAAATAACTTACGATATTGAAAAAACTAATATGAAAACTCAGTTTTTTCATTGTGAAGTAACTATTTGCCTTTCATTTTTGCAATGTAGCCATAATAATATAATCCATTTGGATACATGATCTACAAAGCGCAGATACGGCCTGTTTTATAATACTGTTCCCACATATGGGGTTCAGCACCAAAACATAAGCTCTTAGATTCCATCCAGAGAAGAGACATTCGCCTGGTGGGTGACGCCACACTCACTCACTCTATGACATCATTGGAACACCGTAGAAAGGTCGGCGACCTTTCACTTTTTTATCGATACTTTCACGGGAAATGTTCTTCGGATATCTCTGCTATCATCCCTTCACTAGCAATACCTACCTCCTATCCCTATCCTCCCTAGGAACGCACGATGTTCTTTGAACATTATAGGGATTCCCTTTCCTGCGCTCCAATCGATAAAAAAAATGTGGCAATGGTTTCGTTGAATCTAAATGAGGGGGATTCGTGGATAAATTGGTAGCGTGGCTATATATCTTTATCATAAATACGAATATCTATCTTCAGTTAGATTGTTTTCCCGTTTTTCTGCATTCAAGCTCACCTTTCCTTCTTCTGAATCTTCCTCGTATTCATTGATATCAGAGTTTTCAGTCAAATAGGTACTTGTCACTATTTCACTCATTTTCAAAAAAATTCTTGCATAATCTGACCGATTGCAAGCCAAAGACAACTTGTGTTGTTGCGAAAACTCTAGAATGAATCGCTTTGGTAATATGGCTTGTTCGTTCATAATAAATGCGTCTAATGCGTCGTGAAACAGTCTAGCAAAATACCACTCTGTTCTGAATATCTTCTAATAATTCTCTGTTTCCCACTGTTAACTCAATTTCATGAATGATGCAGCGACAGAATCATTTCGAATATTGAAAGTCGTGATATTACTTAGGAAAATTCCACAACAGTGGTTTTTATACAGTTAAATTGGGTTATTATGACAAATTACCATAGCAACGTATGTATTTTAGTATACATCTGTTCTAGTGGGTACCCATCAGCGTATGAAATCGACATTATTTGTATGAGTTTTAATGACAGAATAACATTTTGAGGCCCTAAAATAGTGATTTTGTATCACTTCAATCAGGTATAGAAATCAACAATTAATAGGCTAAGAATCCATTGATGCCCTAACTGCATCTATTATATAGAATGTCATACCACTACCTCGGAAAGTGTAAGGCGTTATGGAAGGCTAAAATTCGAAATCTCTGGTAACTGATACGTTTCAACGGTCTTTGACTCGAAATAATTTTCAAAATATCGATGAGCTCAAATAAATTCCCGGAAATAGTTTTACCTCTAGTAGTATTACAAGTAAAAACACTTTTTGTCTTCAATTCCCATTGGTCTATTACCGTTGGAGTTTCCAAAAATGTAGCCATGGAAAGCGAAACAAAGTCTGTCAGTTTGACATGAAATAATCATAGATGTAGATGTCAGAATGAATCCCTCTGGTTATATGGCTTGTTCATTCATTACAAATGCTTCTATGCTTCTCGAAATAGTCTAGTAAAAATGTTATGATTATCCCCTACTAATTCGATCTCTCATTGCTTACTACATTGGGTCCTGACGGACTCGTGGTGTTGCTGGGCGACATAATTTCGTGGAAAACAAAGCGACAGAATTATTTCGGTTATTCAGAGCATCGTTATATTACTATTTACAATGCCATATCACAATACAAATCATGAATTTTGAGAGAATTTGTATGTCGAGTATGCCTTTTTCATTATGAATACTCAGGTAAGTATAATAACCGTTTATGATCATCATA